CTATTTACATTATTTTAAACTACAAGCAAGAGCGTTGATTTTTATTGCATTGCATTTCATCCGTCGTATAACTAACCGAGTGTTTTAAATGATTCACCGTTGGATCATAATAGGCGCTGTAAATGTTGCTTCGGCCAAGCCCTTATTATAGTAAGGTGAAAATTAACGAAACATTTCCTTCCTCGAGTCGCGACGATAAACTTATTCGCTTCGTTGAATTAATTCGTCGAATGAAAATAGCGCGCGTGATTTTCTTTCAGCGTCAAATGCGAATAATTTAAATAGTAAGGAGGGGTGAACAAGGTGTTGCCCACGGCCGATGATGTCGACGATTGGACGCGACGAGCTACCGTCATGAGAAATTTTGTCAATAACGTTCTTAACGCTAATGTCGCAGGTACTACTGGATGCGGGCGCGAAGGTGAACACGGTGACGCGCTCCGAGGGCCGGACACCGCTGCACCTGGCCTGTCTCAACGACCGCGCCAAGGTCGTGAAGATGCTGCTCGAGTGCGGGGCCTGTAACAGCGACGCTAAGGACAACGCGCGCGACACTCCCCTCCACCTGTCGGCGCGCGCCGGCAATGTACGCATCGTCGAGATGCTCGTGCGCCACGGCGCCAACACCCGGCTGCGCAACCTCGATGGTGCGACGGCTCTCGAGGAGGTCGAGAGAATCAGGTCCGACGATATCTTCATGTCGCTCGCGCTTAGCAACATTGCCAAGATCCTGAAAAACGTCGGCCCGGCCAATGCTAGTCAGTAGAAGGCGCGAGCCCGCCATGGCCGAGATGAGAAAATCGTTAAGTCTTACGAGCTCTCGACTCATTCGCAATGGTGATTATTGCCAGTGGACTTTGACCACTCGGGACTTGTTACTTTAATGCGAAATTTAGCTCAAAGATTCATGCAACTCAGCAAGGGAGTTATATTAATAATTATTTAACATTAATTATTAATCGTCGGTGCGCTATTATTGCTTTACATTTTGATAACATGACATTACAGCCTGCTGACGGATTTGCTCGCAGCGTGCTCTTAATTTGTCATTATCGCTGTTGTTTTTCTGCATTTTTTCTCTCTCTTTTTCCCCACATTTTCTACTTTTAATTTAAATTATTTATCTTCAAACTTTTAATCGTGCTCGTAGAGTGAGCTCGGTTATTCCAATGGAAATGCGCAAATGTACTATTTTCACCAATGCTTAGGTTTATTTACATCGCAACTCGTTGCACGCGTTACGTACCACCTTCGGTTTTCTCGAATAAAGAAGGAGGGGCTGGTCTTCTTCGTCACTCGAGGTTTCTCCTTTACATTTCGAGTTGCACTCGGCAAAATATATTTGGATATCTAGTACGACAGAACGCGAGGGGACCGTAGGTATCCGCGCGCGATTTACTGGTTTACCCAGCATTTAAACGATCGATTGGATCATTCGATCATATGTAATTGACAATGGTTGTAAGGGCCTTTGGCAATTCACTCTATGCCAGCAATTTCTAACGACTTTGTCGTGAAGTCACTTTTCTTCGATATCTGCTTTCCTCAAGATTAATGATATCCAATGACTTACTTTTTATTTCTTAACATTATTTTACAATTATAATACTTTAAACGTAGACCCAGTTTTACCGCTTTTCTGTCATTATTTGATAAACTATGACCCGCTTATATATATATATATTTATCATAGACGACAATGTTTCATTCCGTCCGGTAACTTTATAAACTTCATCAAGCGCATTAAGACATCGCGATTCGTTAAGTTTATCTTTTCTTTCAAATCTACTCTCGTTTCTAACCAATCTTAAATACAATAAAATTAATTATTGTTACAAATTATTTGCATACTGTAAATCGTAAACTTATGCCTTATTAAAATTATTTATAGAAATTTTTTGCAAATTTTGTTACGCATGGGGATAGCAATACAATTGTACCATAGGCTTAAAGCATTAGACTCAAATGCATTTTTACAAATCAATACGCTCGATCTCTTGAGAGTTCTCAATTTTATTATTACAAATTTCAAATCGCCTTTCTATTTTCATCTCTAAATTCTTCACCTTTACCCCATTAAAATTTTTGACATTGTTTACTTATAAATATAAAAAAATCTTTAAACATTACTATCTGCTTATTTATTACAAATATTAAATTCATTTATTTATAGTACGTAGTTGTTAAGACTTTTAGTACCTAGTTTATCATCAACAATATAAATTTAAATAATTTATTCGTATTCGTTAATATTCGATCGATACATATTATATTAATCTTTGATATAAATTTCGCAATACAACGATGTTTAGATTACGTCCAAATGCGAATAAAGAGACTGTTTTCTAAATAAATAACATTTTTAAGAAATTTGTTGAAAATAAAAAAATAAAATAGCGTCGATCTTGGCTTAGCTTTTAATGATTTATAAATTTTCACATGTTACTTGTATATTGAATTTTATCAATAGATTTCATGTTATAAAATACTTCTAGTCGATTATTGTGCACATAAATGAACATTTTATAAAATTACACACACACGCACCCACGCACACAAAACAGTCGGAATATAAAATAATGCAAAATCATAAATCTGTTTTCTGTGTGTGCGTGTGTGCGTGTGTGCGTGCGTGCGTGCGTGCGTGCGTGCGTGCGCGTTAAAGAAATTCGAGGTAGTTAAGTAATAAAAGGTCGAAATAAATATAATCAATGTTAATAATGCTTTATTTATGCACCATATTGGATTATGGCATCTCGCATTGATAGATTTCGCTCGTTCACCCTCAATTTTCGATTACTACCCTCTATCGCCTTTACTGTCTTCAGTATTTAAATCCTGAAACGAGTGTATCATTTGTAGTTTTTGATTTTTCCCAAAAGTCAGGGCTATCGATATTGATTGAATCGATATTCGAACCGCGTACTCAACCCTTTTAAAACTTTCGTAAAGCATTACAATATTTTACTCTTGCGACTTTTTACATATTACACATTCTATCACGCGTTTTCTTATCGCTTGTAGTCGAAGCACTTGCTCTGTTTTTATCCGTTCTTTTTTACCAACATTTTATCAATAGAGTGCCATCGTTATGAATTTGCTCGGTTATCAAATATCACTTTAATATATTGAATTGTTGATCCACGTAATGTATTTTATGTTTGCTTGAATTTAAGTAAGCGAGTAAGCAAACGTCTTTAAGAAACAGATTTCGTTCATTATAGGCAAAAAAAAATCCAACTTCTTGCTTGCAGTATTCTGCATAATTACTTCATTTTGTTGTTGTTGCTCTTTTTTTTTTTTTTTTTTTTTTTTTTTAATAATATTACAGTCAATTATAAAAACGACCTTTAAAATCATTTTATGTAATATTACGAGTAATTGTAAATATAATTTAATGAACTAAATATCGGCTAGGTGCCCGTAATAATATCGAACAATTGAATTTTCGTTTATTCGTGTGCAGTTAGGTATTGAATTTGCCCGGAGCGTGAAAAAGCACAAGTAAAGTAATATTACCATTAGAAAACGAGCCAAAATCGACATATTTTGAATATAGCTCTTTGTAGATTAAAGTTAACATTAAGACATAATTAAAATTATTACTAAGCTTTGTTTATACGTATTTATTAGAGATAAAGGTCTGTTTAAGGTAATCTGTTGATTCGATAATTAACTATATAGACTATTTGAAATAATGTTAATGAATGTAAGAAAATTTACGAAAATGTGATAAAATACAATCAGTTCTGATTAAAATTGTTTTGGGACGAACGATGACGTTTAGTCAATACTTACGCTTGCGCAGGCCACATTTAGATTGGTAATGGAAATATAATAAATCGAAAGCGAGAGCGAGCGACTGAGACCGCGAGAGAGAGAGAGAGAGAGAGAGAGAGAGACTGAGAACAATATGGGAGAATAATTATTTCAAACGATACAATAATTCTATGCGACATAATATATTGAGTTTATATCATAAATTACCTCTAAATATTATAAACTAAGAGCATTATTTATATATAGAGTAAAAGGACGTCTTGTGATGATCGTTCAAACAAACGAACATCTTTTCTATTTTTGTCTTTTATTATATTTTGCAATTTCAAGGAATCACTCTTGAAAAAAAAAAAAAAAAATGTTAATTTTATGCTTGAATAATTTTTGTTAACCGTCGGTCTAATTTTTACTATCTCAATTCAATAGACACAATCGAGTAAATGCCTACCTTATTCTTATAAACTTTTATGTACTTTACTTTAAACATTTGTCCAAGGTTTCTTTCTACGTATTCGAATTTAAATATCTATATGATGCAATCGCTACTTCACACGCAATGGCTTATTACACGATACTTACAATAAATGTCTAGTTTAGGTAAATTTTGTTTTTATTTTTTATTTTTTAATAAAAATGGCCTGTTTCACTTTTAATTTTCCATTATATTTTCATAAAACTTCCATAATGGTCTAATGCATGAGCATACCTAGTACAGTAAATATTCAATTTTTAAAATATACATACATAAAGTAAACTCTAATGGAAAGTCTACATGGGGATAAATTTTTGTTTGATTGCGTTACATTATTGTTGTACTTAGAACCTAATAAACAACACCAAGCTCAATGAACAACTTCCAGTATGACTTTTATGTCCATAGTTATAAATAACTTCTTATATAACTCGATTATAGTCCATAAATGATTTAATATTACAAATTTGCAAGTTGTTGCTATATATATATATATATATATATACATATATATATATATATATATATATTCTTTTGAATATTACAGTCTTATTGGTCAACCTGGAAAGTCTTAATATTTAACTACATTTTAATGACATAAACAAGGTTTTGGTATATTATATCTCAATTAATAATTATTGTTTTAATTTTACAAATGTGATTCTAATAAAAATTCAGGTTTTTAATAAAATATAGTACTTTAATTATAATTTTGTCTTAATTTTAATATATTATGGAATTTATTATTTTATACTTTAAAAAAAAAAAAAAAAGTGATTATACTGTATACCTTTTATATTTTCTATTGCTAATAAAATAAAATTAAAAAAAAAAAAAATTAAGTCTCACGTTAGAATTTAATTCTTTACGAACAAACAAATGATATATATATATATATTACACGAATTGCTCTTTAAGTCAAATGTAAATTAGATTCAATAAAATTATAATCTTTTGTATGTTTATGTATTTTATACAATTTTAAAAGTCTTTTTTTAAACTAGTCTTAAGAAATTATATATTGGCATTTATTATAGAATTAAGGAATTCTCTAGTAAATATATAAACATGTAAAAGTAGGAAGTTAGTCTCTTCAGTCAATTTGATTGTACTAGAATAATTTCTTTATTTTTTTTTTTTTGTAAATATTTACAATAATTTACTCATTTATAAAAGCAGCAATATTCACTGAAATAGAGAATTTTTCATGAAGTTATTACAATTATTTGAAATTAATTTGAAAGCATTTATTTTAAATTTAATTATCATAAAATTCCATTAGCACGCACATGCTATGTAATCGCAATAAAAATAATTATTTTTCTACAGGAGTCTTAAAAAATAATATATAATTTTGGTAAATTGCCATACAAGAAAATAAAATAAATTTTCAAAACGGTCAGTTTAATTTTATTTCAAAATCTTTGTACATAATTTAATAGCTTTTCTTTTATATAAAATTAATATATTTTAATAAGAATAAAAAGTATGTTCATCATTTATCCCAAATATATGTCATAACAAAATCAAGAAAATGTAATGATATTTATCACATATCAGAATAATTTTGTTGTCTCTATTTAAAATAATAGTTTTGGAATTTTCGATATTTTGTATTATTAGTTAAATTATACGTTAGGTGCAATATTAAAACTGCAAATAACGATTGTTTTATAATGTATAATTAAATATGATTTTAAATAAAATATACCTACATAAATCTATAAATTTATATTTAATATCTACATCAGTGCATTATTAATATAAAAGTAAATTAATATTTTTGTGTTAAAAAAAATTATTTCGTGAAAAAATAATCACAATTATTTACAAAAACTTTCGTTCGTAAAAGTTTTAAAAAACACATTTACCAACATATTCATTTTTTATATTTTTTAACATTTTTTTAATGTGATGTGTAGATAATTATATATAAAATTAATAAAATCAACAAATGCATGTTGCACACGTATGCATATAATTACATAAAAAATGAATACAAGATAATATGTTACTTTTTGACAGTAGTCACATTATTATATTATAATTATTTATAAACTGTCAATGCAAACTTACACACAAGTATCACAAATATTCTCAAAACTTAAAATAAAAATAAAGTATTAGGACAAATGCTCTAACGAGTGACCACGCACTCAAGTTCCATAATCAAAATGATAATAGCATTAAAAAGTTTTGTCGATAATAATAATAGCGATTGTTAAAAATCATGTCAAACTCAGAGTGACAAAATAGTATAAATATAAATAATATTGTGCTTTAAATGAAAAATCGTTAAAATTAACGCGATACCCTTAATTTTTATCGTGCACAAAAAATAAGAAAATTTATAGTTGTATTTTAATTTTGGCACGAATAATGTCGTTATTTATCATTTATAAAGAAATATTATAGATCCCTTTATTAAACTTTAAAGTATTTATAAAATTTCCAAAATTTTTAACCTTTACAACTTTAATTAGACTTTCTTTAAGTGGTCACTTAGCGGACTCTTCACTCTTTACTCTTCACTTAGAGATGGAATTATCCTATTTGCATACAATTCAAAACTAACCCTTAAAAAAAAAAAAAAAAAAAAAAAAAGTCTGATACTTTCTTTTCTACTGAACACTATTAACGTTTTTGTTTGGTAAACTTTCGTTAATTTAGACCAGACCATAACCATTGGAGTACCATAAAAAATACAATTTTACACTTTCTCTATAAATCACTAAATTATGAATTTGAGTTAAATACAACGTTTAAAAATATTTTTAATGGCTTAACGTACTTTGTACATTTTTCAAGGTAAGTTTCAAGAAAAATAAATGAAAAAACGTCCTTACTTTCATAATGAATTAAAATACTATAATAAATTGTGTACTTTTTTTTCTTTTTCAATATTTTAAGTAAATATACAATTCAATATTTACGCCAAGGAAAAAATTATTATCTTAATTGTTACGTTTTATATTAAAGTGAAATAAATACGCCATTATTCGTATAAAATGGTGACTTCATTTTTATAATTACTTTTTACGCGAGTAAAGATATTATGCAAATTTGAGCAATATTCTTAGATATCCAATGAGATTAATCCGATGAAAACATTAATATTATATTTATTTTTATTTAATACGATTAAAATTATATCTTAATTCAATAAAAATGCCATTTAATATTCATCGAATGAAAATTATTTCTAATACTCTCCTAGTAAATATAAAATAAATTAATTTTGCAAGATGAAACTTGGCTGAAGAAAAAAAAAGGTCCCAATTAGAAATTACATTCAACAAATATCATTTAAAATACAAAACATATTTTGTAAATCCGACGCAAATTTACCCTACATTTTAAACCGTAATTTAAATTACCCTTATGCAATTAAGAATTTAATTAAAATCAACGCGATATAGTCAACTATGATTTAATAACGCCATTTTCATTAAAAGTAATTACAAATTAATTAAATTGCACTTGATATTGAAATACGAGTTTTAAACGATTACCTTGCATTAAGCAAATACATTTGAAGGCAGCGAACAAATTAGTATAATTCATTCAATGGGCAAATTAAATCTAATAATTAAATAAAAAGCTTTGGACCATAATTAACTCGCAGGTGGCAAGCTCCGAACGGAAGGTATTTCAATTTTCTTCTTCTCCTGTTCAATTTTCTTCCTCCTCTGACCCCTGAATCTTGCGCGATTCGGACTCCAATCAACAGTTCCATTGTCGTGGACACGATATGATGACATTAGCCTCTCTTCGTGGTTCAATAACGTTGAATTCTCCTCGTCCATTGTACCCAATTCCATTTCTTCGGCTCGAAACTCATACGTCACGTCGTAGTAGCATCTCAGGGTTGGCTCCGATCGAAAACGCTGCATCGCGCACCACGAGTGAATCAGCAGATGGGGAAAGCGCGTGAGCCAATATTCCGTGAACTTGATGGGTATCTCGCCTAAGCTCAATTGGGCCTCGAGGGTTAACTCGCGATAATGGTGTTTCTGTGAATCGAGGATCGACATTAGTCTGTTGTTTGCAAATAGTTTTTGTCAATCGATTCGTTATGCGGAGCATCTTTTACTTTAAATATTATTATCATTTCTATTCAAAGCAAGTGGTTTTTACAGTTATTATGGTCGTTAAAAAATTCGATTCAATACTTTTTTTTGTTTTTTTTTTTTTTTTTTTGTTTCTTGTTTTCATTATCTAAAGTCATAGCGTGTGACTATAAAGCATAAATAAGAATTGATTAACCATTGAAAAATAAAGAATATTATTGAAAAATTATTATCGTATAGTATTATTATTATTATTATTATTATTATTATTATTATTATTGTTATTATATATATATATATATATATATATATATATGTATATATATAACGAATATAATAATTTCATATAAATTTCGGATTACCATGGAACTTCAAATTACTCTTCCAAATCAATATTTTGCTTTTTAATTGCGAAACAGATTTGTGTGTATATATATATATATATATATTTACCTTATTCCTAAGCGCACGAAGTAAATCCCTCACGCTTTCTCCTCGATAGCTTCTGTACTTTCTCAAATCTGTTGCCACTTCAAGGTCAATATGGAGCCTCCAATCGCCTTGAACCACCATGCGATTACCTCTCTCTAGAGCTTGCAACGCTGGACTTTCCGGTCCGTCTTTTTCCACACGATCACTAACATCCTACATTACAAGCACGACAATCGATTACATCGTTTATGGCCTTTTTACATCATTGTTAATTAAGTAAAAGTGAATAATTTGATAAAAATTGGTTTACCTGAAAGAATGTAAGAACTTGAGAAGCATCCCAAAACATTGGATGATAATATATTGCTTGTGCTGGTGGTCGATCCATAGGATTACCGGCGATCATAGCCTTTATTAAAACTAAAGCTACTTGTTTGTCGTTTTCCGAAATACTCTGCAGTGCCGATAAATCGATATCTCCGCCTAAAATTGAAGGAGTTTCGAAGCAAACATTATTCTCATTATTCAATATAATTTTTTTACTTTATTCACATAAATAAATTGGTTATTACAGTTCAATGGTAAATTAAAATGCAATAAGCATCGTCGTTATTACAAAAAGTAACTATAAAATTCGTATTTTTTGTTCCTTCAACTTTTTATAGCTCTTATTTAATAGAGCGCAAACATTTTACATTTTAAAAAATAAAAACTGTGTCCAGTCGCTTAAAATGTCGCAAAATTCCTGTTTACGAATTGTATTTTGATAATATAAAATCGTCTATCTTTGTATTTATAAGCTCATCATATCGTACACACGTAGTCCGAAAATTCATTAGCTCGACAAAGTGACGCAGCCATCACATGCTTTTACGTTACGTAAACTCACACATTATAAGCACATAAAATTGGTCTTCTCATTCGATAGATACGAGCATCCATGTGCTTACTTAATTTGCACTTTATACAGAACCATTTACTCTATTCCCTTTAGCATAGAATGCGATAATGGCATTGGTTATAGCATAATTACTATTTTCATTTGCAGTTATTTTTCTTATGCGTCTAAATTTCTTTAAATCGTTAAATATTTAAATAGTACTGATAACATTAGTAATAATAACGATGAAAATATAGTTTGTACGTGTATTATTATATTCCAACGAAACTTTACTAATACCGAAAGCTCGGTTTCCAAGTTGATAATTGACAATATTAAAACCGACGAACTTCACTCACCCAATATATTGGCCTGTCGTCGAAGGGAATCGCCAAAAGGATGCTTGCCGCCCGAGAGGACGTAATAGAAGACGCAACCGAGAGAAAATATATCAACGGCGCAGGTCGTTCTCTCGCCATTGAGCATCTCCGGGGCGATCCAGCCATCGGTCCCTGTTACGCCTGACCTCCTCGAAAACGACATGCGACCGAGCTGAAGTTTCTTGCAGAGGCCAAAGTCCGAGATCATAGCACGCACTTCACCCCGGGGCCCAGGCACCGAGAGCAGCACATTGTGCGGCTTTATGTCCCTATGTACTATTATGACGAGGTGGACAAAGCAAAATGATTATTAAGCTGACCGCTGATCGAGCGAGCTTTCTCCTTCAACTTTTTTTATTTTTCTTTTAATTTATCGATGTTAATTTATAGAGAGAAGAGATATTCGCTAGACAATATTTAGACAGCATCCACTACGATAAATTTTATATTATTTCCAAGCAATAATTCTATACTGTCGGTATATCATTTTTATATGCATCCCGACTCTTACAACTTTATTCGTATTGGACTTATTCAAAGTATACAACTTTACACCTTGTGCTTTATGTACAATAGTTTGTAAATTTAATGTTTAGCCTTCGAAAGAGCGTTGCTTTTAAAATTTCATTCGCTTTAAAGTTCGATTAAAAGAAATGAAGGTATGAAGATTGAGCAATGAATGGCTGAATGCACTTTTATTTGTACCTATGTCTAAGGAATGTAAATGTGCGAGTCCAGCCGTGGCCTGCCTCAATATGTTCTTCGAAGATATCTTGCTTCGGTCATATTTGCCGGCCACGTAATCCTGTAGAGTAGCTTCGGCCAGCTCGAGGGCTATATACCGAAATAGCCGATCTTGCTCCGTGCAGAAATACCGAACCACATTGGCGTGAGCGTCCGACTCACGAAGAAGGGCCACTTCTCTGTCGGCGAATGTGAAGCAGTCGGGAAGCAGTCGCTTAACCGCCACCGATCTGTTATCGAATTCGCCTCTGTGAAAAGTAGTTGGAATTTTGCCACATTACATTACTCATTACGTGAAATATTCTTAATTTCATGATACTTATAACACACGTATACAACATGCATTCATGATTATATAAATGCATATTGATTATATAACAACGTAATTTTTAAATTTTAAATAATCTTTAACTAGCTTATTCGATGTAAATGACAATTTAAAACGGTCAAAATCTTATACAGTTTATTAATTCTTGGTATCGCATGAAAATACGAAATAAAGTTTTATAAGTGAATTTGAACATATTTCTGAGCTATAAATGGTTTTTACTTGTGATTCTGACTTACAAAGTAGCGGTGGTTTATCGATCTATCGAGGTAAAACCTAATCTTAATTTAGATATTCTACTGTTACATCGTGCTATATATCTTATAATAAAATTTTATTTTATTATATATATATATATATATATATATAGATTTTATTTTTATATCACTTCTTACTTGTACACGAACGTTCCATCGCAGCCTTTTCCGAGTACTTCTTCGGCATTGAATGTAATTTTACCAACTCGAACCATCCCTTCACCGATTTCCTCCGGTGAATATATAATACCGTATTTTCCATTGCTACTCGTACGACTATTTTCACGCGAACCCTGATAAAATTATTAACATCAGATACCATTCCTTTAATGTGATCATCAAATCAATTATTTATTTAATTTTAATGTAGTTTTTATGTATAGACTACGAACTTACCTGAGATAATTCTTTGAATTGGGCATTGAAATACCAAAGCATTGTTATAACACACCCACAAAGAATTATAAAAGCTAATTTCAATCCTTTATTTTCTTGTTGATTAAGCCACGTTTTACTTGCTGTATAAGATATCGCGACGGCTTTTCGCCATCCTTTATTTTCATTAACAGATCCATTTAATTGCTTATCCTCTGTGATAATATCTACTTTTTTCGTTAAATTAAATGTATCTCGATTTGTTTGTATGATAGGATCTGAGCGCCCAGTAATTTGTAGCGGCTGATTATGGGGTTTATACTCCACAGGAACTTCATAATGACCTAAAAATATTTGGAACGATTAAGTTTCGTACAAACTGTTATAAAAGTGTAGGAATACATCAATTACAAAAATTAATTTATATAAACACCTAAAACCATAATATTCTTATTATTTGAACTAATTCGTTGATAATTATTTTCAGTCGTTTTTTTAGGAGAAGGCGAATCATTCTTTTGCAGATATGAAATTATTGGACCTTCCAGTAATAGATGACCAGCTTTGCTGCTTATTGTGGATGTGGACGAGTCCACTAATGAAGGTAAGGCATATAATCCATGACTGTGCTCGCCAATATATAAGGTAGGACTAAAATAAGTAAGTTTGTACATATTGTATATCAATTAAAAATATTATTAAGTATAAATTATTGAAATATAAAATACAATTCTATACTTATATCTAAAAACATAAAACTGATAATAAATGATTTATATCATTATGTAAGTAAGTATAAAATCATTTATTATTTGAATGACAATCTTATGATTTAATAATAAGACTCACAAAAACTGGAATTCGCTTGGTTTTACAGATATTTTTTTTAACAAATGGCTCAAAGTTGTATCAGCAACACTGGTGAATGGTATCGTAAGTAACCCATCTTTACTAATTGTATAAACTGCTATTACTGGACTGCCCAAGTTGATATCCCACAAAATATTTCCAAACCTATCTACGGTAATAACTTGTCCCGTTGAAGTTCCAGTAAAATGAACTAAATCATAATCTTCGACAAGTTCTGGATCCATCTTGGCAGCTGAATAATCGTAAAAAGTAACATTCCATTTTCTATCTTTACGCTTACTATCTATCATTATAATATTATATTCCGTTCGTCCTACGAATATAACATTTTGTGTGTCTATGGGGCATGTATTATCTACTGTGGTAAAGCCAAGTAGTTGTTCTCTTTTACCAGTTTGTGGATCTACGCTAAACCAAGTATCAATTTTTCTTCCTGTATATAGTATACCATCGCTACTACGACACGGGCTGCTTGCAACCAATTGTGGAATAGTAAATGGTAACTTTTTTAAAGCCTCTGTTTCAGGGCCAAATAAATATAAGGATCCATCTTTTGGATCTGGTAAAAAGATAGGCCTGAACATAAAATAAAATATTAATATAGTTCATTGTAATTTAAAGATTATTAAATTTTTTATTTTACCGACTTACATTGATATTTGCGACACGTCGTGAGGAACCTTAACAGCAGGTTCTGTAAATTAAACAGAAATGTCAAATGAAGTTATTCCAAATGTATACGCGATAAGATATATATATATGTTATCATTCACAACTATGTAACCTATTTATCTCCACTTTTCCATAACTTTACTAATATATTATGCTCCTTGTAAATTCACAAAACAATCAAGTAACCACCAGTCGACGAAAATTATGTCAAATATTTAAAGATTACGAAAATTGATTTTAAGTTTAATAGTTATTAAGTTGCTTAAGCCTATTAAATAATGCATTTTATAATAATACACGATATAATTGATATCTCTATATTGTACCGAATAAATTTCTTCATTAATTTATTAATATTTACAATTACCGTCATTTTGATGCCATCGAATTTCTCCAGTTTTTTGTTCCACAGCAATTAATAATCCATCGAGCGTTGAAAACATAAGTAGAGCATCATCTTGGTCTGGAACCAAACCGGTACTATCGTTCTGTAAAGCAAATAATACACGATTATTCAATATTTGTTAATTCAAGGAGCAAATTAACATTTTTTAGACATACCTCTGTTGCTTGTTGGCCAAGTATGCAACAGATAAACGACAATAATATGTGATATAATAATTTATTCATTTTGAAGATAAGTTGGGCATTTAATTATCTTTATCACAATATTTAACAACATTAGGTTATGTCTGCCCTTGCCCTTCGAGCGAATACACTTTAGAATTATGCACATCCCCCGAGAATTTTCAGTTCATTAATACGCTAATATTTTATTCATCGTGTGATTAGTTTTATCGATGGTTGACAATGACGAATATACAGTAAATAAATTAATTTATCGCATAATCCAAGGTAATGTACGCGTTGCGTCATTTTACAAACAAGTATATAAATTTATAAGCTATTTAGCTAAGAGGTTGTCTCTGTAGGCACACTTATTTCTCAACTGAATAATCACAACCGAAATAGAGATTTATTCTTCTAAATCAATACATGTATATTTTTTTTTACCATACGGTACTTTCTTCTATTCATTGAACATTGTAGTTCAATTACGATTGCTGTTCGTGTTCTATACACGGATTCCTTATACTTCGTTCTTCATTGCTCGAAGCGCCATCTTATCAAAAATAAACATTTAGAAAACCTTCGTGTATTTACATATGCAAATGCGCGCATGCACACACATGCATACGCTCATATATGCATATATATATATATATATATATATCTATGAACGCACGTCCGTAAATGCACACAGGCACGCGACAAACGCGTGCGCGCCCTCATGCATATATATATATATATATATATATATATATGCATATAAATATGGGAGTTCGATAGATTTTACCGGGATGCGCACTATAAGCGGAGGCGTAACCATTATTGGAAAGAGAAGGGAATAGTTACGATGATTATTTGTTAATATCGTTTGCCAGATTATCGAAGGAATAGGCAAAGTATTTACATGCGTTGCTTATATCGTTAGTTATAATTAAATAAAATTTTAACAATATATTACTTACATTTTTATTACAGGTTTCAAGCCAATACGTTACGATGCCAAGACATTGGTCGGATATTCAAATCATTTTATAATGACAAAGAGTCTAGCGGAATTTTTGAGAAAGATATATTTCATAGGAGAGCAAAATAGCTTGATAAATTCAAAGAAAACCACTTGCCCAAACAGTGTAGCCCAAACAATAAAGCTGAATTAGACATCGCGACACATATGGGGTCTCAAACAAATACATGAAACTTGCTTAAATATTGCTTACAGTTACTCCTCGTCGTCTAATATCAAATACGTGAATACTGAGTGAAAAAGTCGATCCTAAAGAAAAGAACGAAAAACAAAAAAAAACAAAAAAAAAAACAAAAAAAAAACTGAGACTACAAAAAGCAATTTAGTAGAGATTAGTATGGGTATCGCACATATGTAAATGTCACCAAATCAACCGCTACGAAACTAAACGGAAAAAAATAATTTATTATCAATCCAAAATCGTGAGTACATAAGCTTTAATATTTAAATTTGAGATATTAGCAAATTAAATTAAGTATAAAAAGTTTGACGGTGAACTTACCTTTGCAAAACCTATCCAATGACCTTTCGCATTTATTTATATTATTTTAAAATGTACTTGGTTAAGAAAAGTACTTAAAGAAACCTTATTGAAAAAAAATACTTTGTTAAATTATTTTTAATTGGTAGTAGCTCGTATTAAATCGAAAGGCTTTTTTAACGATTAGAGACTGATCGGGATATGAATCAAAATAATTTATTTGTTCGTATATATATTTGTAAATTTTTTAAGCATTCAAAATGTACGACGATATAATAAAATTATAACTTTAAAAGCTGTATTTAATCTTACAATAATTTCATTTTTTTTATTTGTCAATTACTACACTTGCTTCTTGCTTTTTTTTTTTTTTTTTTTTTTGTATTTTTTTATTTTCATAATATTCAAGTCACGTATTATAAAATAGAAATAACAGCAAAATAGAAACGAAAGAAAATCTTAATCTCTAAAAGGTGGCAATTATGAAAAAAATATCCAATGTATTGCGAGTCACAGAATGTGAATAAAAAATCCGATATTGATGATAAATTTTTCTAATAATAAGATTTTAATTAATATGTGTATAAATAATATCAATTATTGTTTAGTTAATAAATCAATGTTAACATGTGTGAATCATTTAGTAATTGATGACAGAACATTTGGATTTAGTTTATGCAATAAGAAAAAAAAAAAATCTTAAAAAAAAAAAAAAAAAAAAAAAAACAATGATTTTGAAAAGCAATTTATACAATTATAATTGAAAATAAATGCATGTGTAGGCATAAATAGCCTTTAAAAGCTGTTGTTTAATCAAATAGAAAATTATTTTTAGGCATTTAACCGATGTTGAATTATTAAAAGGTAATTTTAGTAATTTTATCAAAAATGCTGAAAATTTAATTCAAAATTATTATAAAATTATTATCCTTTCATAATATTAAATATATATTTACATAATTATAAAAATGTACAATTGCACACAATTACGTACACTTATATTTACTTTTTAATTATAATTAAATAAATACCATTTTTCTTATTACCAACTCTCTTTCTAACATTATTTTTTATAAAAATATTAGTTTTTTGAAATTTAAATATTTTTATTTGCAATATTTGATAAATAAATAAATTTTCTATTAAAATCTATTAGTTTAAAATTATTGAATTTTATTTTTGGATTTTCTTTTATGTGATTATGTAAATAATAAGTTCATCTGAAAATGTTTATTTAAACTATCCTATGACTTACATATACAAAGTCAATTTAATTTGTCCACTCATTAACATGATTTTTCTTTTCTACAAAATATAAAAAAAATTACATAGTTATGACATATCTATAAAATATTGCAGCTTAGCATTAACGCCCCAATTGCTTTTAGATATATGTCTATATAGTTAGATAAGTATAAAAAATTAATTTTTGTAACAATAGGAATATGAAAATTTTATTCGAAATATTATTAAAATAATAGGCAATTATGGTAATTATGAAATATTTCATATTTCAATAATTAAAAATTATGACTTTTATAATGATGCATTTACGCGTGAATAGAATATTTTTATATTACTTTACGGAAAGAAATTTAAAAATTTATTTTTAAATAAAATTCGCATATTCATATTTTAGAGCTTAATCCTCGTAGACACGAGAGTTATCTTATCTCAGCGAATAGATTGATTAGTTTAATTAAATGAGAAATTCATTTTGATTTGATTTTCGCGTCGCACCTAAATCTTCTAACTCCCCTTTAGAGCTATCGAGGAGCTGTCGATAAACAATATTATTCAATCTGATATTACGCCAGTAATTGATTATTACTCAATAAATTTATCTTCTTTAACAGATAACTGAAAAATTATATAAATATTGAATTATTCATCGAGCCGCTTGATTTCTTTACTTTTATTGGAAGTTTATCATCGATACTTTTTAATTTAAAAACTGTTATGAATACTAATTCATATAACTTATCGTATAGCTTGTCTGATTTGATTTTATTCTACTTAGTAGCTTCTTCATTTGAAAATAATAATTAACGATTCGTTTACTATAATTATATCAAACTATAGTATTTAACATAATATAATAATTATTATAATATGTTAAAACGATAAAATTTAATCTTGACTTTGGATATTTAATGAATTATCAGTCTTATAGTTTGCAATATCTTGAAATTAATTTATTTAATTGTATTTTTGAATTTTTAAAGTTAATCAAATGGTAAATACACACACACACACACATATATATATATATATATATATATATATATATTCTATCCATTTTATATTTCTATTTTTAAATGTTGATATATATATATATATATATATATATATATATTCTTATTAGTAAATATAAACTTGTATTGGAAAATGATTTATTATTAAAAATATTTTACTATATTAGAATTATTTATTTATTTATTTATTTATTTTTTGTTTTAATTAAAACGTGTTAGTTTAAGCAAATTCGAACAACCATATCGAGCCTAAGACATCCAAAATATTTAGCTGAAAAATTATTCGCAATCGATCCTTACGTAATCGCGTCGATCCACTATTTCTTCAGTGACGTATTCGCAATCAACATTATTCGATTCGGCCGACTCGTACTGCTGATAATCCGACACCAAGTCGAGTAGTTGCTTGTGGGCATCCATGAAATATTTTTCATTCGTGCCTTCGGGTGTGAAGTGAACGAGTCGGTAAAGGTTTTTTGTCTTTACATTATTTCATCGAACCCCTTGCGAAGGCTTTTGAAAATCTCGTGAATGACGGTGTTACTGTCGAGAAAAAATTGCGAATATGGCGAAGGCACTCGGTAGTATGTTGCAGACGGTAGTTTTGACGCCGTTTGACGGATTCGCGAAATACGATTTCTTGTTTATCTGTATTGTTGAATATAGCGTTGTCGATTCCCTACATGGACATCGAACCTCGGAAAATCGCTGCAATCGTCGAATATCCGATAAGGAAGCAGAAACGAGCTTTAACGTTGTAACGATTTTCTTTTCTTCGCTCTTACTTCAGTCTATTTTTACGAGTTAATCGAATAATAATAGCGCGGCTATTTTTTATTCAATTCCGAGGCCTTAATTTAATTGTATGTAAATGTCTACTTTGTAAAAATATCATTAATATTTACACGATAATTGTGCATTAACGTATTTACCTTAGCGCACGAATTATTTATAGACTTAGATTTTATTAATTAATTTTTATTACTAATAAGTATGCCATATTATTGAAATAAGATACATCATACGATTGGTTTATGTATTAGTGTTGGTCTAGCCAATCCGTTCACATGCTCGAAAATCAATAGATTGCATTATTTTATTAATTTAAATTTAATAAATTTTTAACACAGTAATGTAAGTTTATACTTACGTTTGCTTTTTTACGCAAAATTAATTCATTTGTCCCGATGTATTTGCAATTAATTTTCAGTTTTTACAAAGATTCGTCGACCACAAATGAACATAATTTGTCAACTAAAATAATTTGAATAAGAAAAATAAACATTTTTTGTTTTTGTTTTTGTTTTAATACAGACAAGATATAAACATTAATAATCCAATTTACAAAAACAAGAGATGATAAAAGCTGTAATAATTAAATAGCTATTCATAAAAGAAAATTTTAACGAATAAATTGAATCGCTCAAATTTTTAGGCAATGAAATCATAAATTAATAAATTTTATTTATTGATGAAATTTCAATTAATTTTTAACGATAAAGGCGTAGTGATGATATCTTATTGCTAATAGTTCATCATCGAATAACAAATAAATCGTCGACGAAATTTTGTAAATGTATGAATCCGTGAATAGTAATTTTCAGTAGAATTTTCGGTAGAATTTGAACAAATTACAACTGATTTGAACAAATAACTACTGATGTGCCCTATATTTAATATTTTTTACTATTTACATTTTACATTATTTAGTAAATATTTAAGAAATAAGTAGGTGCTGGTACGAATGCTCGATGTGTTCTTAGACTAGCGAATAAGATGAATTTATCATAAGCGAACAGTGTCAATAAAAGTTTTAGAAAAAGAAAGAAAGAAAAAACAAAATGAACAACTTGGACCAATTGTAAAATTAGAAAATCTTAATAACAACAATTGCTTTAACAGGCTTTAAAATTAAAATTTCTTTTAATAATATTGCAAATATGATTGACGTCTCGGATAAAAACTCTATCGAATGCTTTTATTACCTGCCATTATGTGAATTATACTCGCTCATGATATTTCTAGCGTTGAATATTATTTGATTTGCGAATTCTGACATAGTGTGTTCATTAAGAAATTGGCTGACTCGCGATGTAAATGGAGCGAAATTCGTTAATAAAAAAATGAAACTTTGAAAATGGCATTATACATGGCATTATACGGCGATCTTTCGGAAATCGACATTTAACTGACCTCAACTGAATTAACGATACAAGTGTCTGGATTAACGATATAAGTGTAATTGAAATAAAGCCGGCAATAAGGCGCTATTATTAAGTCATAAGAAAATTGATTACAGAGTATAATGGATCGTAGGAAAGTAGGCCTTGCATATTAAATTATTATTTTTATCGTTAAATTTTTTTGACAACGTACTGTGGAAATCAGGTGTTTACGCCTGTAAATGTCATGGGCATTGATTTGCATATATTTTATCATTAGAAAGTACGCTCGAAGACTCATTGTTTGGATTGCGAATCACTCGTAATTGACATCCAGTGCACGCAGAATGAAAATCGATGTTAAAGCAACATTAGGTGGCACGCATCCCGGAATATGGTACGTGTGTGTGTGTGCGTGCGTGCGTGCGTGCGTGTGCGTGTGTGTGTGCGTGCGTGTGTGTGTGTGTGTGTGTGATAAGGGACACGGTGAGTGATGTCGAGTGGTTGAGATGCACGAGAGGTGAATTAGGCAGATTGAAGGTGTTTTGGTAGATATTATATGGAGCAGTTGATTTTCGATGCGGAAGGTCGAGTCCGTGGGGTCGATGAGTTGGTGTAATACGAGAGGAGAACGTTGTAAGCCCTGAGCAGGATATCGGGAATACCGAGCGAAAAGTGATGAGCGAGAAAGTGCCGATAATTTTATAGGGATATTTAATCGGGAATGTTGGAGATGAATTGGGTACCCTTACCATAAACCCATGCCCATCGTTCATCGGTGCTCGGTTTTTACGGCGCTCGATATCTAACGGCTTCGGGTCCATCGACTTGGCGCCCATTGTGTAAAAGCCCAGTGGGAACAGTTACAGTCTAGCACCTTTGGATCAGAATATCGTGTGATCAGTATCGTCGAGCGGATCGATCGATGGTTTCGAGCTCTAGATCTATAATCACGGGGCGCGATACACAAAATTTGTAACGCGAATCTTTGAAGTAGATATTATATTCGATCGAGCGAGAGGACCCATCATGCCCTAGAAATTTGCCATCCTGGTGGATGTCGTGCTTCTGCATTATCGTCTCTCACAATTATGGAAGGATTTTGTCATTTTTAGTGGAAGTGGAGCGATCTATCTTTATAAGTATTTAATGCTCACTTTCTACTTGTAAATAAGAAAAAAAATTTTTTCACATTGTTTTTTTCTCATTAATGATTCATTGGATTTATTGGAGATTTGAATTTGACAATTGAGCATGAATTTAGGATGAAATATGAGAATGTTTATTGACATTTAAAAACTTAATTTAAATGTTGGATTTAAGTTTATCCGCATTTTGCTAGATTTTAATTATTTTTGTCAATATTATAACATGAATGTCTTGTAAGTAAATCGTGATTATCAAATAACGATCGTATTAATTAAATTTTTAATTATAAAATTATGAACATTTTGGATGTATTAAATGGAATGGATTGTTCGAATGAAAAAGTTGTTTGAAAAAAAAGTTTTAGTCCAAATATTTATCAAAATTTAAGAGGTTAACGTAACAAATAAAATTTTATATTTTCAATATTCTTCTTTATATTGTGCCTGAAAAAGTAGATACTTTTAATTCGATATATAAATACGTAAGAATAAATTTTAAAAAAATTAAAAATTAATTGTCAGTAAACAGTAATAGCGAAAGACATTATCATTAGCATTAATAATTTTCATTACCTATCGATCAATAGACTTAAGTGTTTTTGATAGAATTTTTTTTATTTTACATTCATAAAACATGTTAATGTTCGCAAGAATAAATGTATATTCATAAGAACGACTCTTATGATTTACTTATTATATTATCTTTTTTTAAATTTGTAAAAATTGTCAAAGGTTAATAATAATAAATATGTCCTATAATAATAAATAATAGTATTCCAGATGTTATAATTATGAAAATCAATGTCGCAAACTAGTTTTGAATGATTTTTTTTCTCTCTCTGAATTTCTAGGAACGCATACTCTTCAGATTTAATTAAATTATCATTTTCACTATTCGCTCAATCGTAGCTTCATTTTATCTTTAAATTTTATTACGGGGACGTATTACAGTTTGTCTTAATTATCAGTCATTATTATCCCTACATTATAATTTGTACATCAGACGATGCAATTATAAAATACTTTAATATTCATTAATGTGAAGTTTTAAAAGTGTATTTCAAAATTAAAGAAAATTGAGAATCGGCATTCAGTCTCAGAGCTATCCTCGATATTTGTGTATCGTGAGAAAATAAAACAAAAAATAAAACAAAGAAAAAACAAATAAAAAGGCCCGGTGTGGGGGCGGGGGATTTGGGGGGGGGGGTGTGGAAAAAAAAAGAAAAAAGAGAAGAAAATTATAATAATAGGCGATCATGTTTTTACAAACTAGATTTTCACTCCATTCGTCATCATTATCAATTAAAACACGAAAAGACGGCGTGGCGTATGGCCGCGTCCGTGACTTGTGCTTTAGCATTAATATTGATAGCTTCTGAGACTGATCGACGAGTAAATCTTTTCTGACGATAATTATAATAAGATAATCGTGTATGTGTAATGAATAGCTTCGTTAAAAGTTCACACGCTCGAGCCCTAATGACTTGTTCGATTAGATAGAGTGAGGCGTAAAAGCAGAAATCAGTACTCTTGAAGTCCTCGATCGCTTCTCAAAGATGCGCCCCTTGGAAAATTCAGGTCCGCGGGTCGGGTTCGCGAGGTCAGCAGCGGTTCCGGGGGCGCATCGACGTAGCGAAAGCAACGCTTGGCGCTGGCTAATCGCAGGGAGGAGCCGTCGAGCAACGCGACGATCCGTAAATCCCGCTCGTTCGCGTCGGCCCGCACCCCTCACGGCCCCGCACCAGCCAACGCAACGTAATTCCGGTCGTCGCCGGCCTGGGATGCGCGCGCCGCTAAAGAGGATGCGCGCGCGCATGCGCGGGCCTTTGCTCCAGTCCCCGGGCAGTGCGGGTGCGCGTGCGGCGTGTGGCCCCGTGCAGGGATCGCGGGCCCGGTGGAGTGCGCGCGCTTAGTGAAGCGTGGATCGTGGTGAGACGCGGTGTCGTCGCGTGCGCGCATACGTCGTGATGTTTGGACGGTGGAAGTTAGCCGCATACGAGCCGCGTTCGCGCACTGAGAGGTTAGACATCGTAAGCGACTGAGTAATACGCTGGGGAAGGTGAAGCGCGCGACGCTCGCGTCGGAGGCAAGTACGGCTGTGCGAGCGACTGGCCAATCGACGGTGAGGCGCCTGCACGCCAAACCATTGGGAGGCGGCGTTAGGTAACGGCGGCAGCTCGCGTCGCGGGCTGTGGAATATGTGGGAACCGGGCAGCGGGGACAGCGGCAGCGGCAGCGGCAGCATCGACAACGCCAACGCCAACGCCAACGCCAATCGGGGCTTCGTCGTCCTCTTAACCGCGCTGAGCTTTTGCGTGCTCCTCTACAAGGCCTGGGGTCCCCTGCTCTTCATCACTTGCGCCCTCGTGCTCGTCGTGCACACGTGCTACTCGCTGCTGGTCAACGACAGTCTCTTCGCGCCCCATACGCTCGTCTTGCTTCGCTACGCCAGGGGATACGGCCTTGAGCTCGCGCTCGCTCTCAAGCTGCTCTTTGCCCTGGGCATTCGAAGCACGGCCAGGGCCTTCGAGTACCTCAAGCGGCGCTACGACGTGGGCTGTAGAAGGCGATTCAACGAGAGCCACGGATCACCCGGGAGCCCGGACGAAGATATGAACGGCCGGCAGAGGAACGCCTATAGGCTCAGCACTACGGTGAGTCTGTCATCCTTGAAGCCTTGATTGGGCTGAACTGGGACTGGGACCAAGGACTGCTGGACTTCTAGCAGTCCTTGGTAATTGAAATTTTGAATGCACCCACCATCATATATTCATCTGGCCATTACTTGGATCCTGCATAAAGATTCTTATGATCTTGAGTTAAGTTCTAGCTGTAACTTATGCTCTACCCTAGTGTACATCCCATTATTGTATCGATAATGTAATAATTGGAGTCATTTTGCCCGTAAATTGTTAAGTACAGATATTCTTTATTGCAATTTTTCAATTCCAAGCTACCCGTCCTTACAGCGATATGTCCACGTCGAGAGTTAAAAAAAAAAAAATTGCTCAAATTGTCTATTCTTGACATTTTAGCCGTGCTATAGTGTTAAAAAGCAGCTAATACAAAGTCCAGTAATCGATGGAGTTGAATTTTTTAATCTATCCCATTGTAGCGTTAAATTATAAAGATTTGTTTCATTATTTGTCGATTAGTTGGAATAAAGTTTTTAGCAATGATGTTAAAAGTAAAATCTAAAGCTTAAAAGAAGAAGCCATTGTTACAATGACTGATTTGTGGTTAGGTTATGCCTGGAGAGCATCTAAAATTTGTAAACATATTAATCATTATACTTTTAATAATTTATTAAACTATCTTTAACAAACTCTTAATTATATTCGTTGTTTGAGATCATTTTAATCGGCGAGATATTGATTAATTGATATTTCGTTAAACGAATCATTCAATTATTACTTGAATCACATTGTTTTATATGTAAAATAGGCTATAGATATGGCTGAGCGTCCGAGCCCTATAAATCATGATCCTTATCGTGCATTTGCTTTGAATGGAGCTTGCGATGGCGCCAGGACTTCAACGCCAATACCCAGAGGAAGTACTTGGACAAATGCTGCGCAGGTTAATGGAGATTTAGGGCAATTCATATCGATTAATTCATTTACAGCTAAAAAGACCACGACCTCACGCTGTGAAAACAAACAGCCTAGTATAACTCTGCCTCGTAGCGAAGAAACTCTCTATAGCCCGAAAGGTTCGCCTTGGGGTAATAGTATTAGTCCAAAAATGAGAGATAGAAATGTTATTAAAACTGTGCAAACGGTTGCTGGACCTCTGCTGGCTTCGACAAGATACAATATTGACCCCAAGTAAGTACATTGGCCTCTTATTTACTAGGATCATTGTCATTTATCTTCCATTATTAAGTCGATAATGAATAACTATACAATACTCATGATCGTTTACAGAAACAGCTATATATATTTACTTGTTGAAATGGACAATGTTCTTTTGCATTTTTACAGAATATATACAGATGTGAGTTCGCCTGGCTTCACAACGCGATTAACAAAATATGCCGCCGAAGCGAATAATAAATTGACTCATCAGCCCCAATACGGCACAGGTCAATTTCCAAAAGTTAATCTTCATGCAAGTCCAACGCCGCTATTAAGTCCTAAAATAGCAAGAGCTAGAATTCCAGTTACCGTTAGAGTTGCACCACCGGAAATCATAAATTACTCACCAACGGACAGTCACTCGCATCAAGAAAGACACAAGATGTTTCCCAACAATTCTGGACCAGAACTCAAAGAATCCACGTCCTGCCCAAATATTGATCCAGTTCTTAAAAAAATATCATTAAAGCGACATGCTTCCAGAGAAGATATGTTAGATATAGCTAAGAAGCAACGCGCTGAAAAAATGTATTATGGACAGTTGGAAAACCTTGAAGAAATGATGCAAAAAAGATCAAGAGATGAGTCTATGACATCGGAAGACGATCTGTCTCCTCAATCAAAAACTCAACGACCTACAAAAAGATCAAAAGCATCGTCTTGTCATGATATTTTACATTCGCTTAGTTCTAGTCTTAACGTCTTTTCTGGTGTTAAAAGGAAAGCCAGTGAGTGATTATTACATTGGTCTTTATTTTTTTTTTATTAATAACATGATTTTTTTTTTTGTTTTTTTTTTTTTTTAAATTTCTGTGTAAATTATTGCAACAAGATCTATCTTTCATTTCTAATGTTTAAGATACATTATATTTATAAATTGTCTTTCGGATTTTTACAATCGTTTATCATTTCAATTTTAATTTCTCACACACACACACACACGCACTCTCTCTCTCTCTCTCTCTCTCTCTCTCTCTCCTTACAAATAGTATTTAGAAAAAATATTTTATTCTTTCAGTTGATACTTCACGTTGTAATACTCCAGACATTGAGAAGCATTTTAAATCATCATCAAAATCTCCCAATAGAAGTTCATCTTTTACCATACACCCTGAAAAGGAAGTTACAAATTCTAAGGAACAATTAAACACGAAAGTTTCCGTTATAAATGCATCCGGTGAGCCTCATCAGCCTAAGAAAAAAGATAGGAGCTCAGAAAAACTAAAAACAAGCGAACATTCTCAAGAATGTCAATCGATGCATACTACGAAGGATTTGAATTATCCAACGCCCAAAGCTTCAAAAGGAGCTTCTGTTGGGCCTAAAGATGCAAACTTAACGGACAAATTATTCATGAGAGCCGAGCCACAAACGAATGAAAAACTGAAGATTTTGATAGAGGAGCAAGGAAACATCGAAGCTAAATTCACAGTGGATGGCAAGGATGAAATAAAAAAGAAAGATATTGTAAATATGAGGCAAAATAGTATGCGTTTGAGACTCCAAAGCATGTTTGATGCAATATCTGGAAAATGTAAGTTATATTTGTCAATTTATCCAAACATTGACTATGTTTTATTAACGTATAGTGTTAACTTCAGTAGCATATTAATAAAAAATGTGTTACCGATCAAAATCGAGTCTTGCAATAAACATGAATAAATGCATGTAATTTTATGTACAAACATTATTTATTGTAACAAAAATTTAATTATTTCGGCTTTTTTTTTTTTTTTTTTTTTTTTTTTTTTTTAATATAATGAAATATGATAAAATAAAATCAATTAAAAATAAATTAGACAAAATGCTGAATTTTTGACAAAATAATTGCCCCATTTTGAATTGTACTTATGCAAGTAAACAATAAATTTGATTAGTATTCGTCCCTACATTTTTTTATACCAATTTAAAAGTTACTGTAGCAGAGTATGTATTTAATATAATTGGCCAAACTGTTTGAAGCTGCTGTTTGGAAATTGAGAAAAATAATGTCGCTATCGCCCTTTAAAAATTCTTGACATTCTAATATAGTTTATTTAAAAAATTGCAGTAAAAGCAAGGAATTAGCATTAATTAATAACCATATTCACATTCTTTAATTAACTATAAATTATATGTCTGCTAATGATAATCATAATTTTTCTCATTAACAACACTATTAATACAATTTATTAGCTTTGCTCGCTACTACTTGTCCTTTAAGAAATTTCACATTAGAGCACTAAGTACGTAAGGACATTGACACGGTAAATATTCGGGTTAAATTATATTTCAAAGAAAGAAAACATACTCCAACTTTTGATTTTGCATAAATATTACAGTTGAAATGTTTATTATAATAAACTGAAGGCCCTTGAATAATATTTTTAGCTGCAAGTAAAATTGATCCGGACGTCGTCATCCAGGCGGAGGAAGTGAATCCAACCACCTCGTCTAATTACACTTCCCTAAACTCGCAAACATCAACAACAACCGTAAATGCGTCACCTATCGTCGCGACCATAGTACCCATCTTGAAAAGTGACACCGAACCCAAGTCCCCGTCCACAAAACACGTGACTTTTGATTTGCCCGTAAACACGAGTTCAGAGACGGCAAGAGTGGGGGTCAGCTCTCCTCCCCCAATCAAAGAATCAGTTGACAAATCTCTCGGAAAAGAGGTTCCGACCTTCGACTGTTTTACAAGTGCCGTCCCGCCCCTAACATTTAGCTTTGGCAGCGTTGTCGCCCCCAGCACGTCCAATTCTACAAAATTACCTACTACCAACGCTTGTTTTGTTTTCTCCGAAACCGGCAATGAACCGAATAATAAACCCTGCGTAACAGCAACCGCCTCTACCGTCCGTAGTACCGATAATACCGTTATTACGAGTACCAATACCACCACCACTATCACCACCACCACCACCGCCACCACCACCACCACCACCACCACCACCACCAACAGCAACAACAACAGCAACAACAACAGCAACAACAACAGCAACAACAACAACAACAACAACAACAACCTAAGCTCGAAGGGTACAATGGGGGCCATTATAAGTTGCTCGCCGACCGGCTTTACCAGTATTCCTGACATTTCCAAAAGCTTCACCTTCACCGCCAGTAGTTCGGAATTCACGTCCGAAAGCGTTGCTAGAACGGTGACGTCGACAGTTTCGACGCCGGTGATATCATCCGCTTCGGCCTCCACGACCAGCGCCAAGAGTACGAACTTGAACACGACCGTGACTATTGCCATTTCCTCTGTCACCACCACTAGTGGCAACACATTGAACTTTGCCAATCCGCTTTTAAATAGCTCGCCCACCATGTCCGTTGCACGTAAGTCTCTTTTATCTCTCAATACTGACTTTTTAGTGAGTATAAATATTCGATCATAAGGACGGATAATTCGAGTTTGACGGATCGCAAAGAATGAGAATGAATGGTCGGCTCCTTGATTATTTTTACAAATTTTCTTCACGATTTTCAATAAACGCAAACAAGTATGAAAATATCATTGTCGGGGTGTACGGTTATCATAGTGTCATGTCATTGTCATAAATTGTCATATCATAGTGACATCGCAAAGTAATATTCAAGATTAAATTTTATATTTATAAACGAAGCAGTGCATATAATTTAACGTGACCCTCCCCCTCCCTCCCCCTCTCCCCTCCCCCAATTGCCCTCCTCCACCACGTAAAATATTAATATTTATAAAAAAATTGTGTAAAATGACGTGTGTAAGTTAAGGAAAATAAATTATTTGTACAGGACCAACGATAACGCTGCCAAGTTCGACGAGCAACAAAAAGGAGAGCGGTGGATTTACTTTCGGTGCGGTTACTGCCAATAGTAACAGCATCGGAAATTTAGGTCAATCGTCGCCTAGCCTGATATTCTCGTCGATTGCTTCGACGGCGGCGATGACCACCGCCGCCGCACCTGTCTTCACCTTCAGCGCTGCTAACAAGACTTCGAGTTCCAGCTTCTCGTTTGGGTCGATGGTACAACCGATCGCGGCTACAGCTCCGAGCATGGCACCGAGCACCACATCGAGCACCAGCTTCGGAACCGGTGCTCAACAAGCCCTCGCTACCAGTACCGGTTCTTCCACCATCTTCCCGGCAATTACGAATATGAGTGGTAGCACGAGCATCACCGGTAAGACATTTTGGACTTTCAGGCTTCGACTTGGCCTTGTCGCCTTTTCTCAGCCGTTCTTCAGTCTTCATCCACTCGATTATTTTACGATACTCGGATTAATTCAAACGAAAAAGAAGAGGTTTTAAAATGCAGAGGCAGAGAGATAGAGAAAGATAAATATAGACATCGAATATCGATTTTTGTACATGATATATCTTGATTTATAAAAAAAAAAAAAATCACGCAAAATTAAATGAGAGGAGGTTCTGCCATTTAGTAATTTATCGTGATATACATAATTAATAGAGTAAGTATGTTGTTTGATGAAGTAGCATAACTCGGATTATCATAGTTGTGAAAAGAGTAATAAATAACCCAAAATCATTATCACCAAATACTTAAAATATTAAATTTCTCCCTTTATTTACCATCATTGTCGGCATCTTTCGCAATCTAATCTCTCGTCGTTGACGTAAATTCAAATAAACAATTGCGCTCTAATGACTCGCATCTTGACAATGAAAATCGACGAAATAAAATCAAAGTACAATGTACTGATCGCGGCTTACGCTCCTAATGTCATACTAATACTTGTACAAACTGTCTGTGTTCAATCGACTCCATTAGCATCTATGACACCGACATTTGGGAGTTCCGTAATATCGCCTTTCGGTGCCACCAACTCCTCCAGTCTCTTCAGCGGCTCACCGAGCACGTCAACACCCGCGACAATATTCAAGTCTCAGCTATCACCGGCCACGTCGATTCCTACGTCGGCACCCACGTCGACCATATTTGGCTCTCATGTCGGTATTTCGACCTTCGGTGCGTCTGCGGGATCATCCACGTCCGCGTCCTCGATGACGAGTGGGACAACTACAGCATCGACAAACTTCTTTGGCGGCATTATACCCGCGAAGCCGGGCACAACCTCGACGATACCAAGTATGTTTGGGAAAGCAGTCCCGACAACCACATCCACGACTACGTCTCCAAGGTCCACCTTCGGAGACTCCACCGGCCTGCAACAAAAGGTGCAGCCGACCAATATATTTTCGGGGACAACGTCCGGGGCGACCTCGATATTTGGCTCTTCAACCACAACCTCGGCGTCCAGCATGACCGTGGGATTGTTTAGCAATTGCAGCCCAGCAGTTCAGAACACCTCTAATTTGGTAAGAGTTTATGTATAATTTGTTGTATGTTCGGTAGCGCAGTCTCGAACATATCAATAAACCAGTCGATCTCACCTTGAACGATGATGGCATATGTCATGCTTTTCCGCGTGAGAAACAGCATTATTCGAGTGTCATTTAATGAAATATTTTGAGCAGGTACCCGCGTCAAGTCCATCCGATAGCACAAATATCTTTGGCCAAACCAAATCACCGACCTCCGTACTGTTCGGCACTTCGAGTTCAAGCTTTGGCCAAACTAAACCGACGTCCAGCTTCGCGATGCCGAGCACCAGTAGCCCGGGCACGTCACTGGCCTTCCTGGTCAGTCAACCTCAGTCGGCAGTACCATCTAGCAACACCATATTCGGTTCAACTTTTGGCTCGACCGCGTCCACGAGTAGCGGCAGCAGCAGCGGTAGCTTTGCCACTCACGGTACCGCGTCTACGAGTACCTTTGGCATCGTCGCACCCGCGCATACCCCGAGCTTTGGCAGCGGCTCCGGAACTTCACCGTTCGGCGGTCAGTCGAACGTCAATCAAACGCCGAGTCTCTTTGGAAACGTGGCCGCGCCCACCGCAACCTCATTTAGCTTCGGAGCTAATCAACAACAGACCCAGGCCCAGACCCAGGTCCAGTCCCAGCCCCAGCCCCAGTCCCAGTCCCAGCCCCTTCAAACAACAACGACATCGTTTTCGTTTGGAAGCACGGGTAGCACCGGCACTTCCGGCAATACCGGAGGCCTCTTCCAATTCGGCGGCTCGACTTCCAACAAGTCAAGTACGTCCAAAGTCAATATTAATTCAAATTGTTTCGCACCTTTCCCATTCGCTTATTCCCATGTAATTGGCTCTCGCGCTTCTTGATTTAAGATAATTTTACATTTAAAGCTCATTGCCAAACGCAATTTGAAATTTGTAACCAAATACTAAAGATATTTGCAATTTGTTTTCTATCAAACACGTACACGCACACGCACACATACACGCACACACATACATGTTATACCGTAGAAGAATCGCTTTCTCAACTATTGATCGCCGACTATATCGGCTCCCAATCCAATGCAAATGCCATTTTATAACCTGATTATTTCATTATAAAGCATAAATCAATAGTATACTTTAAAAATATATAGCAGCCATAATTACAAAGTGAACTTGTGCTTTCTTAAATAGCTGGTTTCAACTTTAACGCGCCCACGGCTACGCCGTCAATGAACTTTACCGGTTCAACGGCCCCAAGCTTCAACTCATCTGTACCACCGCAAGGTGCACCACCGGCCTTCAATGCACCAACAACAAATATGTTCAGCATAGGTTCGAGTTCATCGAGCCCTCGACCACGTACCAGTCGACAGAGGCGACAAAGATGATGGAGAATGTAAAAAATAACATACCAACGACCTCCTTAATCGTTCGCGTATGTGTGAACATTCGATATGCGCAAAGCACAATTACAAGAGAGGAGGAAAAGAGCAATGGTAAAGAAGGAGGATGGAGTGACGGGTGGGGGTGGGGGTGGGGGTAGGGGTAGGAGTAGGATAGGTAGGGGAGGGGGGGGGCGAGATTCACTAGAGTAAGATTTCCAGGTGAAATTTAACCGTGTGAGACGTGCTCATAATGCGAGTTACGTCTTCTTTGTAATGTTTGAAATCAGAAGCAAACAACAACACAATACTTTGTTTTTATCGAAGAAAAAGTAGCTGACTTGATCCGTGGTCGCGGACATATGAGAAATGAATGAGCACGCGCACGGTGTTATCGCAAACTTTTTATCAATTACAATAAATACATATTTTGGCAAATAGCCTCGGGATATGGTGTACCTTGTACACATTGTGGGTTAAATCCCTTATTTTAAACGGTGAAGCAGCGACGAAGTCACTGTTTAGAATTTGCGTTCCTACATACACGCGCATGTGTCTGTATAAAATAAAGTATCACAAATTCGTTGCCGATTCCAATTTTTTTCGAGTTTTTGGTACATGATCAAGCACGAGCGTATGTAAATATAAGACGATATAAAGGTAAGGTGTAGGAGTCTTTATAAATAGAATTTACTTATAACTAGGCGATTATAAATTTAATGAATGATTCTTCCTGTATAAATACGACTGATAAATGCTTCATTATGAAAGTATAATTATTTTACTTCAATTAATATCTTTCTCAAAATTAAGCTCGAAGCTTTAAAGTACAAGGATCATCAAAGATTATCCTTGATTAGTTGGATATTACATTCTGACTAGTTTAATATTATGATAATTATTGTTAAAGTCCAAACATTCAAGTGTAGGAGGAATGATTCGTTGATTTTCATGCAATTATGAACTTTTGTGGAGTGACAAAGTGTAAAACTAAAGAGTTAGATTTTGTTTAATACTTTAAGATAGCTTATAAATCAATTAGTTTTATATTTATGTTATTAGGCATTGTAAAAAAGTAAAAAATAAACGGTCTGTCGGTTATGACTATTAAAATGTCTCACGCCATTAAAATACAAAGGTTAGAACTAGAACTGATAGTCCTTAAGAATGATGTAATTTGTAAACGCTTCACAGAGCTTAAGATTTTTAATAATTTTGTAGTGAAAAAGTTATAGTAATATCCTATTGATATTACAAACTGTCATAGCTTACAATAATATTATAAAAAGAATAAATCGTATTCTCGTATTGTCTTCTACGGAATCTGTTTTGCCTATTTTCTTTATTCCTTAAAACATTCGATTCATTAAGTTATCTATTTTACTTAGTCTTATCAAACAATTACTTCCAAGACCAATAGATCTTTTCTATGAGATTTTATTTTTCGTTTTCTTTTAATACTTTATTCAAGTATTTGAAAATAAGCTTTAACGTGTGAATTGAGCAGACCGTATTTGAAAACATCAATAGCTTGTATTACTCAAATGTGTCTTCATTAGAAGAGATGACAAAACAAAATGACACGTAGTTTACTAATAAAAGTCATTTAATTATAAACTTTTAATAAAGAACATGTAAGCATCAAGCTACAATATTCAAATTTTCATTTAATAAACTTTCTTTATCAGTTTTTTTTTGTTTTTTTTTTTTGTTTTCTGTTTTTTTTTTTTAATTTTAATTCTCAATAGGCCCTATTCCTACTCTTTATTATCAATGTATCAAATAATTGATTATATAAATTAGGCATTAAAGAAGCACTTTTTATGACAAGGTTTTCGTTTAAATTACAGAATATAATACAAAATTTTGGGAAAATATACTATAAAATACAATGTTATTGTTACCAGGTTTGCGTGCCTGCTTACGTGCGTGTGTGTAATGCTTCAGTGTATCTAAAACAATAATATTAAGACATATTTACTGCAACTTGACCATAGTTGAAACATGAGAATAAGATAAGAGGAGAGAGAGAGAGAGAGAGAGAGAACATTTTCTGCTGTGTGGTAAGAATGGTGTCTTTTAGCTTTGTATTAAAAGTGCAATCTAATTAAAAATTATTATATTCAATATATTTTTATTTATTTTGATTTACAGCCATTGCCATTCAGTTGCACATAATTGTATCTCTGCAATTTAAAAAATAGATTACAAAAACTAAGGAGAGAAATGGTTCTACTAAGAAATTCGTTTACTAAGAAAATCAAAAGAATTACGATGTAAATTTTTATTTTTATAATTCAGTAATTCATAAATGAGATTAAAATTTTATCCTTTAAGTTTATTTTTATTTTAATAAATATAGTTATGTATGTATATTAATTCTTAAAATGCACTAATAAATTTTCGTTCATAAGAATTTTCTCTAAATATTCTTTACCTTCTTTTATAAGATATGATCAGCGGTAATAATAAACTAATTTTAAAAAGTCTTATAGTAAATAGTGAATCGTTAAAAACTGAGCAATTCTAATAATTTTTATGTATTGCAGTATTCGTAAAGCTATATGTGGAATTTTAATTAGTATATTTTATATATTAAATATACGCATATTCAAATCGATATAAGTATCAAGTACATTTAGTACATTTTATTTTATTGAAATTTTATCGTTTATTGCATAGAAGTCATTGTTTTATAAATTAAATTACGTTGCATTTAGTGAAGTACAGAGTTTATAAATGACTGCGTACGAAAAATTAATATCAATACTATTATACAAAATCTATTATGTTACGTGCTATTGTCTATAAAAATCATTAATACAGAAATTAAACGTTTAGTTTCAGAATTTTTTATATATATATATTCGTGAAAAATAAAAGCTAAAACAACCAGTAAAATAAAATCGAAAAATATATATTTTTTATTATAAAATTTATCGATGATTTAATTACACGTCGTTGGTACAATGGATTTGAAACATTTTTCTTGTTTAATTTTGTGCTTATAAACATTTATTAAATAATTTCATACTCGTGAATTAAAAATTAAGAATACATTTGTACTTATTATTTTATTTTTTATAATTCTCTAACTGATCAAATACAACTATTTATTATTAATAATTTCAAGAGAAACTTAATTGTATTTAAATAATTGCAGTGTAATTATCCACATAGATATAAAGTTATGATAAACCTGTTACAAATGTAATTATGACTAACTGATAACTACATTAATTTGTGTAATTTCATAAGTTTTCAAAAGACAGATAAATTATTTCCTCGAACTTGATATTAAAATATAGCTGTATTTTGTATTTACCATTTACTTTAACAATCAACGTAAAAATAACATAAATAATATAATTTTCTTTATTAGAGATTAGAATATTTTCAATAATTATATAATTTATTTGAATTTTATAACAGTATTTGAAAATAGATAAGAGCCACAATTTCTGCATAACAAAATTATGAATTTACATTTGTAAAATAAGGTATTGGTTTTTAATTGATTATATAAACACATTTGAGATAAAGAGTATACAATCGTTTATATGGTGCTATTTATATTTTCTAACACTATTAATATATTACAGTACTACGATGTCTTCGACGATTTAAAAATAGGTACTCTATGTGTTAATTTGACCTTGACAATAGGAAAATAAAAATCCTATTTAATTCTTGTGCGCAAATACTGATTTACATCACACATCTTTGCTTCGTGAGTAGCATTAATAGAAAAGATTCATTACGTTATGTACCGCAATCCATGCATGCATGCACATTGTATATATATATATATATATATATATATAAACACGTGTGTGTATGCATGTGTTACGGTATTAATTAATTTCTTCACTCTTGTTCTATCTTAATAAAGTTTTTGAAAAGGCCCAAAATACTATATGCTTACTGGAGCATAATTTTAATAGAATTAAAATCGGCTGATCAGTTTTCAAAATATCTCAGGATAAATGAATAGCTAATTTTATTACCGAATAATCTTTTAATTAATGAATTATTGAATGAAAATGTATGGTATCGAGCAAATTTAATCGAAATTGAAAGCTTTTAGAAAATTTATATAATCGGCAAGATATTGAATAAGAGCATTTTTTAATTTTATTCTCTATAATCACAATATATGACAGCCGTATACATTTATTTACAAAATACAAGTATTAATAAGGCAACCTCATTACTTTAACTTAAATCTGCGTTCTTTTATAACTGACATTTACTGTCTTAAATATAAAAATATTGATATTATATGTATTCTTCTCTTAATATCAAATCACTTATATTCAAAAAGATCTTATATTAAATATTATTAGTACCTATATTTTGAAGAAACAAAAACAACAAATAAAAAATCTTGGAAAAAGTTGAATATTGATTATTGATTCCATGGATTATAAAATCATTAGCGATACATTAAAATTACAGAAAAATTAATATAGTTGGAATAAAAAGCACAACCGCTTTTGCAAATATAGAATATTAATAGTTTTCTGTCAATCGAATGCATTTTACATTAATAGCCTTGACACACATCAACACATAACATGTAACTTAATTCGTTATAATTATTTATTATTATAATTATATTCCATATTATTGATTTGATTGTACTATTCATATATTATCGTTATATTTAAAACTTTTATTACGGTATTATTTTTATTATTATTATTATAAATTTTTGTCATATATGATCGACATCATTGTAATCGAACTACGGCTGTTATAGCATGATAATAAAAATTCTTGAAGCTTGGTTTTTGTCATGAATTTGTATGATGAAAAACTAAAAAGCTAAGCAACGGTTTAAGGACAGAAAGTAGAAAACAATGAGATCGTACCACAAAAATTGAGATAAGCAAAGTGACAAAAAAGACTATTGTATGCGACACCAAAAACTAAACGATGATGTAGCTAAATTTCTTGCTGTTTCAGATAATTATTTTTTCAATGCTGTATGAAAATGATTAAAAATTTTCACCCTTTGATGGGCATGAATAAACTATGTTCTTGAGAGGTTTTTAAGATTTTAGAACTTTAGCCTCGATCATACATATAGTTTTATTAAACATTAATATCATAATGTTTTTATATTTAATATTTTATCTTGATAGGCATACAGTCAAGTAAATAAAAATTTATTTAACAAAGAAAATTACACACACACGCACACGCACACGCACGCACACACAAAAACACACGTGTATATATAATAATAATAATAATAATAATAATAATAATAATAATAATAATAATACACGTTATAATTTATCAACAGATCATATTTTAAATTATGAATCCGATTGATGTCCATTGTATTAACTTTGTCATTTTCATATTGCCTTTATTGATTAAAACGAACGATCTTTAATACCTTTCAATTTTTAATTATTTTTCAATCATTAAAATAGTTAGAAAATGATAAATTGAGAAAAATATATATTTGTACAGTTAAAGAAATACTTAACTCGTAAAATCAGATATATTACCTTAACTCCGTTAAATATAAATTGATGCATTGTCCAATTTGTTTTGCGGTTCGTGAACATTTTAAAAATATTTCAATTTTATTAATTGAAAAGTCTGATAAATGTACATATCGTTGGTCGCTATAATTTATTTTTCATTTTTACAATCGTAATGGTTTCGTAATGGTTGCTTTTAATAGAAAATTAAAGTTCTTTCTTGTCTACTTAAAGAAACAATTACATTGATTATCATTACAGAAAAATTAGATTGCAATGTTGTAGATAAAGAAAATTAATTAATTTATTTGCAATTTGAACGAGCGGGTGAAGTAACGGCGACATTTCTTCATGCACGCTTTCACAGCTTTTACTATTTTAATTGTCCAAATCGCCAATCGTAAAAATGTAGGTATTTAATCGAGCGGAATTTATTAAAAATGTTTCTGACTTTGACTATCACCAAATAATAATATGAAATAAAAATTGCAGCAGTTAATTTAATTAATTATGTTAAGTTATATAAGCTACAATTACTATAATTGCTATAATTCCAAGAAATTTTACCGATTTAATTGCGACATGTATGCTTCGATTTGGATTTTATATCATATAAGTGCGAGTGTACGTAGCAATGGGCAAAAGATGCTAATTTTTAATTTCTTTAATAAATCAATAATAATGTGACGAAAGTACTCTTATTAATAGCCCTTCCATCTTTAAAGGCCCAATATTTAAACGAAATCTCATCGAGAATTAACAATAAAGGTAATTTAATTCTGCTTCTCAAGGCATCTCGATATTTTTGCTTATTTCAAAAAAAAAAAAAAAAAAAAAAAAAAAAAAAATTAAAAAATTAAAAAATTAAAAAATGCTCAATATTTCACAAATGCATCAGCATCGTGAAAGAAGGAAAAAGTTCCTTCGTCCTACAAACGCAACAGACGGATAATTGTAAAAATTGAAAAAAGATTAAGACGCGTTGTCTCTTTTTCACGTTAACGACTAATATGACAGCAACGGACAGCAATCGCGATGCGATCGTAATGCAAAAAGTGAATGCTTTTTATAGGTCGAATGATCGAATAGTCGAATAGTCGAATGGGAGCGTAATTAAATTGCCATTGGTATAATCACAATATCGGTTATTGTTCTCAACAACAAACACTCGGAACGAATGGTCGTCGAGCGCTCGTCCAAGTCCCAGACGCTAATGTCGTGGTGGATGAATTCGCAACGAAATGGTAAATTCGCACTCGCGGACGCACTAGTAGTCCTCTCGACACTAGCCGGGCGGGAAAATAAATTCTCCCTTAAAGAAGTTGACATGACCGAGGCAATGGGCGATTGTGACGGGCGTAAGTACGCGTTAGTGACCGTTGTCGACTAAAGCAATGAGGGCTGGGCCGTCAGCTTCGACCGGCCAAAACGGTGCATATCTATAAGCAGAGAGGGACCGCGCGTTTGCTCCGTTACCCCGGTTGCCGCGCGCCAAATCTTCTTCTCCTTATTATTAATCATCAGTTCTCTCTCTATCATTCTCCCCTCCAAGCCGTCGTCGCCCCTCACTGTTCCGCCGTTCCCCACCGTCGCACACGCTAGCATTCCCCCGTTCACCCTTCCTCGGCGACTGGCCATTAGCCGCGCGGTGTGCGAGTCGCGCCATGTTTGTGGACGTGCGCGCTCGCGAGTACGAGCGAGATAAAACGAGCATAGCCAGGCTGCAAGAGAGAAAGCACCGAATGTCGATTGTGTAGGGATGCGGCAAGGAAGGGCGTACGGTGGTAGTGGTAGGAGTGGTAGTGGCGGCGGCGGCGGCGGCGGCGGTGGTGGTGGTGGTGGCGGTGGTGGTGCGCATCCGTCGGCGGCTCGGCGGCTGCTCGGCTCCGCTCGGCTCGTCAGAAGGGAACCAACAGTGCAAGCGTGAAAGACGGGAGAACATCTAGGTTCGGCAGCGGCGTGTCCAACACCTTACACACACCACCATCACCATCTCTCCATCTAAGTAAAAACAACAAAAACGGCTATGGCTGACCCGGAAAAGCAGCCCGAGCAGCAACAGCAGCAGCAGCAGCAGCCGCAGCAGCAACAGCAACCCACTCAGCAGATCCAACAGCAGCCACAGCAACAAGCCAAGGCTACTCAACAGCAGAAATTGGTCCTCGGTGAGTCGACGTCTTTACCTTAGTTCTTGTCGTCCACTCATGATATTCTGACTCGCCCCACCCGATCACCAATCGCCACGTTGTCGTCCTCGTCGTCGTCGTCGTCGTCGTCGTTGTCGTTGTCGTTGTCGTTGTCGTTGTCGTTGTCGTTGTCGTTGTCGTTGTCGTTGATCGCCACGTTGTCGTCCCGTTGTCGTTGTCGTTGTCGTTGTCGTTGTCGTTGTCGTTGTCGTTGTCGTTGTCGTTGTCGTTGTCGTTGTCGTTGTCGTTGTCGTTGTCGTTGTCGTCGTCGTCGTCGTCGTCGTCGTCGCTATCCTGCTCATTATTCTCGTCGTCGCCGTTGTTGCTATTGCTGTCGTTATCGTATCATTGCTATTACCGTCACCATCGTTGCCGTTGCCGTTGCGTTGTTGTCGTTGTCGTTGACGATGATGTCGATATCGATGTCGATGTCGATGTCGATGTCGATGTCGATGTCGATGACGATGACGATATCGATATCGTTGATGATGTCGGCGTTGTTGTTGTCGTTGTCGTTGTTATTGTCATCATTATCGATATCGACATCCTTGTTGCACTCGTACTCATACCCGTACCCGCCGATGCAACGGAGCAGCCGTGCGCGCAAACGAGGGGCAATTCGTGCACGTGCCCCCCGCGCTACGGGGGGACGCTTCGTCGGAAGGACAAGGAGAGTGAGTGATGCGGTCGCGCGATCCACGCCGTAATGGCGCATAATCCGAAAGATGGAGAGAGAGAAGAGACGCGGTCGCGCGGTAGAATCAGCATCAGCATCAGCAACAACAGCAACAACACAGCAGCGCGCTAGTTCCTCTGTGTATTACCTAAGAACCATGTGGCCGGCGCATTTTCTTTCTCTCTCTCACTCTCATTCGTCAAAACATTCACGAGCAACCCCATGTTTTTTATCGAGCTTGCGACTTGCTACGACGTCTTTCCGTGCATTTGTAGCGGCAATCGTGATTATTCTCCGGATGGCTTTCTTAACTCCGAATATCCTCCATTAGCTCGCAAGTCAAAGGAGTGAGAGAGAGAGAGAGGGGGAGAGAGAGAGAGAGTGAGTGAGTGCGAGCGAATGAGGGGCATGAAATCGAGCGCGCGTTCTTCCTCTTATCGCGACTGCCGCCGTCCTTCCCTTTCTCGGAATCTTCGAACGCGTGCTCTCGGCGTGGCGCACGAGGCTAACGAGCTCGAGCGCACGCTTCCCCGTGGCGCGCCTCGAGAGTCCTCCGAGTCGGCTTCATCACCCTCCCCGCCCCACCTCCCGCGGTGCACGTACACCGTTGCTACGAAGGATGCTCACATTTTCATTCGGCCTTTATAACCTCAAAATCGTAATTTCGAGGCTGATAAACGAGGAAAGAGGAGCGATTTCCGCGCTTTAAGATATTTCGGTCTTATCTCGCGTTTTTTTTCTTCTGGCATTGACTGCTTTCTAACAATACCTTTTTTCTTTTTCGTTTCCGATATTGGCGTTATTTTATCGCTAAACGTTATAATACCCTCATCATCTTCCGTTCGCCATTCTTTGATTACATAAGTGAGAACGTATTTTCATCGTTTATCTTTCTGTTCGTCTTGCTATATTATACGTACGAGCTATCTTTCGAGCTGCATAGGGACGAATACCATGAAACTGAGAAAGAGAAAGAGTGGGGTTAGAGGGTTAAAGAGAGAGAGAGAGAGAGAGAGAGAGAGCGGGAGAGGGAGAGGGAGTCGACGATTGGGAGAGGGAGGATAAATTGAGCCGTGCTGTGTCATTAAACTATATCTTTCCGTACGTATGTGCACGTTGTTTTGACGTAAAAAAAGATGAGAAAGATAAAGTGAGGGAGAAAAGCGAATGGTGGGGAAAAATTGAACAGGAGTAGCATTTCGACAAATCTGTTTTGGCCTGTGTTTTAAAGGATATACAATCGAAACAGGAACACGTGGATAATTATAGAACTCCACTAATGCTGAACATTCCATTATGATTTGACATCATTCGAGAAATTTATTTATAAGGAATTTATATTTAGCTAAATAGACTATAGATTTATGAACAATTTTGATCAAACCTTAATTTTTGCCTTGATCGTGCTTATAACAATACCTCAATTTATTGATTATCGTGATAAATTTTTATATATACATTGCTAAAAAGTCCTGTACGCTGTATAAACTAACTAAACGTTACACAATATCTAATCGTTGAAGAGACAGATCATCGAAACATACAACATACAACATAAAACAGAAAATATATAAATATCTCTTTAAATAATTAAAGAAGAGTTTTATAAGGTTTCCTCTTTGATGTTTATTCTGTGAATATAAATTAATTTCTATGCAAATTAACGAGATTCTCGTATATCTGTAAAAAACAAATTTTAGCCGTCTATTAAGAATATCAAAATTTTCTATTTATATTTATCGTATTTGATTGAATCATATTTCACATTCGGCAAAAATTTAATCTTTTAACCGATTGCATTTTGTTATATTTATATAAACATCGGTAAATGGTTAAAATTGTTTTATTTATCTATGTTCATTCATAATTACGTATATCCGTAAGACATCAAACATAACCTAACTTTTTTACACGATCCACATGTTTCAAACAAATTATTACATCTAACTACTGACATTTGTTTAATTATTATTACTCGTGATAAGGACTGTGATTTCAATATATATATTTTTTCTTTTGAAATTTATAAACTTTATTATTAAACAATTAAAATTAATTAAAATTAACTAATAAATTATTGTCGCAGTATAATAATTGACCCGGGCTTTGACAAAATGTATTTCTTTCGATTTGAGTAAAATTTTAATTGATAAATAAGAGTCTAAAGAAAATGAGACGACGCGACATAATGTATTACATTCAAAGTGTTTACATCTTGTATCATACATATGCTGCCAGATCCATGCTTCGAAATTCGTTAACGTGACTTTGTGGAAACATAATGATTATTGTATATTATAATGTATAAAAATATATATATAAATTAAATTTACTGTAAAAACAAACTTTTTGATTACATATTTATGGTGCATTTACGAATACTTACACGAAACAGTACTTTGGTGTTAATCATGTCAATTATATATTCAATTTCTCTTCGTTTCTTGAACAATCATTAATCAATACATAGCATAATTAGCACGATAGATTCTATATAAAACTTCAAGTAAATATAAATTTAATTTCTTATTTTTAAGAAGGAAAATTTTTATTCAAATACTTTTCAACTATGGAAAGATTACAAAAGCTAAGGCCACATAATAATTTGAAAAATTATAATTTATACGATATTCTTTATAATTTCACTATAAGTAATCTATTGGAAACTATTAGAAGAGAAATATTTAATTGTGAATATGTAGTAACTTTAAGATCAAAATGATATAACTTTAATGAGATGAATATATGTGTATAATCGTTATATTTTTAAAGTTCAATATCTTATGAAAATTGAATAAATACGGATAAAATTAATGGAATTTCATTTAGTCATTGTTAATTGTTCATAAGCAGATTATTGTTTATTTTAATATATGTCTTAAATATAATAATTAATTATTATTTGCCGCAGGATGGTACACAGCGAGGAGTTAACGTCGATATTAAGAATATATGTTGTAATTTACCTTAAATACTATTTGCATAAAATTTATATGCTAATTATTATATAATGAATATTAAATTCAAATTTACAAAAAAAAAAATTGTGTTCGAAATGGTAAATTATCGGCTTGATGTTTTAAAATTAAAGTATATATTAATTTCCTCCAATAATAACTGTTACATAAATAACTATTTTTTATGTAAAACAAATCATGGCTTGACAATTGAAGAATATTGCATATAAACATAATTCTATCGTTACTAACTCTATAGTTCTAGCATTACTAGATAATAAATTATATTATTTCGATATAACAAAGTTTTTACTATATTCTTTTTAACATGAACAAAGAAAAATAAATATATAATCGTAGACTTAATAATAGATGAGACAAGCATTTTATATGTAAAGCAGTTCCTAATTTAATAATTTGTATTTTTTATTATTATTATTAGATGAATACTTTAGTAATCAGTGGTTATTTAATTTTTTATAATTGTTCATTATTTATATGGTCTTTACTTTTCATATGTATTTTAATATTTCTAAAATAAATGTATTCATTATTCTAATAAATATATTTTATGTACTAGCAGCAAATTGTCAGAAATGACAATGAATTAAATGAGATTAACAATGAGATTTACTAAATATGGCATTATGAAAGCGCAAAGATTTTTATTCTATAGAAAAGTTTAGTATTGTTTTATTGGTTTGTGGATGTAAAACATCATGATTGATTATGTATGTACATCTTGTCGATTTTTTTTTTTTTTTTTTTTTTTTTTTTTTTTTTGAAAATGTCGTTACTTAGTACATAAAAATAGTATAGAAAAAAAAAATTAAATATATGTGCGTTCATGTACGATGTAGGAAAAGACAAATTAATATCTTTTAAAGATTTAATGATTTAAAGATTTGTACATTAAATTGTTTAGTAAATTTTATCATATTTAAAAAAAAAAAATACATTAATTTTATACATTTTATTTAATACAATTTACCAAATGTTTTATAAAGAATATTGTTTCTTTAAACCATTTGTTATTTATAGCATTAGTTATAAATACAGTAGTTTTCAATAATTAGTTGTAGCTGAAGAATATAGGAAAACATGGTAAATGTGTTCGATTTGCATTAACCAAGTAATTTTATAACGCGATTAGACAAAATATAATATTGGTAATATACATGCATGACTTTCTGTTTAATCCGAAAAACGAATTACAGTGGCATTCATTATTGGTTATATTATTCATTATTGGGTATATTAATAGTAAATCGTAGAATTAATAATTAGTAATTTTTCGCACAAATATACTGTTTAATAATTAACCTGCTATTAATTATATTTATTTTTTTATTTTCAGCTAACAAAGTTAAAGGAACTGTTAAATGGTTCAACGTAAAAAGTGGCTACGGATTTATCAACAGGTCAGATATTTCTTTTTTATTCGTTATTTATGTGAGAATTGATTTCTATATATCCTCCTCTACCCTACATCACATCGCTTATTTAATTTTCAAATTTTTTTTTTTTTTTATACAAATAAAAGTTTAAAATTGTGAAAAATTCCATACATAATTAGTAACTTATCATGTGTTATTACAGAAAACATACTTCCAGTATTAGAAAGGATAAAATCAGTTATAATTACATGTAATAATTTTAGACATTATTATATCGATGTAAATAAAAAATTTTATTTTATTTATTTTTTTTTTTTTTTTTTTTTTATATCAAATTTGGCAAAATTCGAGTACGAGTTCAATTTTCTAAATTAATTTAATTTCAGTAATTTTATTTAATTTAATTTAATATATTTAATTCGTTACGCTTTACTGTACTATTGAAAAGTGCTTCGGCTTGTGTTCTAAGATTTTGGAAAAGTAATAAGTGTAAGAAGTTTGTCTTGTGTCCTGTTATAAAATAATATTTATCGATTATGCAAATAATTACAACGCCTCATAATTTGACAATTTAATTAAGTTTTTTGCCCGATGCATTTTTTACATCATGTTATTGAAAATAATGTATTAACGTAACTTTACATCATAATTATAAAAAATAATTGCAAATTATGTTAGAACTTAACGTGAATATTTGTATTTGCACTGGTTTCGTATCCTGTGATTCATTCGAAACGCTCAGTCGACTGAAAGTACTTGGACGTCGTTTCAACGTAACAATTAGTACGTCAGGACCGAATATTCTATACGCCACGCACGCACGCGCACGCGCGCGCGCGCGCACACACACACACAGCACCTCTATATTCGCTCGCTCGCATTTCATTACTTAATGAGCCTAAGGAGGCTCAGTTTATTTCTATTCGGCTGAAGAGCAGCGTAACGCCAGTGAAATTTTGTCGCGATAGAAATCGCGCGCAATTAATAGCGCGCAACAAAAAAAGAAAAAAAGAAAAAAAAAAGGAACGAAACAAAGAAAAATGGTAAAATAAAAAATAATACGAATTATAAAATGTGAAAAAGGAGAATTTGTCGTCTAAGAGCTTGTAATATATATATATGAAAATGCTCGTTTGTTTCCAAACGAGCGACTGACTGATTTTCTTGAGCGCATCGTGTGCCATAGCTTCGTCCGCGAAAGAAAGTTAGATCGCGTCAACGGAAAAAGTCGAGCGGACATATTGCACGCGGACGTAGTGCCCCTGTGGAGGGCGACGGTGAAGAGACGGTGGAGGTGGAGCGTTGGGAGGGTGGAGGGGGTTGAGAGGGGGGGGGGGAGGAGGGCGACGACATACCGTCGCATTGTGCGCGCGAATACACGCGTCACACGTTGGCGCGCGAACTCCTCGCCTATTTCTAGGCCTTACTTTATTCTTGGCCAACGGCCAAAAACTCTACCCCCACCCCCCACCCCCCACCCCTCCCTCGTGAAGCACCTTTACTCGCCTCGCATAACGCGGCAAGAGTGGCAACGCGCCGAAATTAGGGACTCCGGCCTCTCCATATTCACCAACTGTTTAAGGGGAAACACGTGATTGGAGCACTCGATTAATTGCCGTTATCTCGAGCAATTGCACCGTCTTGATCAATGGCGCTGAAAATGCACGAAAACATGGTGCTGTTGGGATGATCAGAGAGATATAGATGGGAATGGAGTCTACTCCATAATAAAGGCCGTCCTTTATTTTCTCGAGAAGGGTCGAAGGCTGTGCTCTGGCCGGCATTGATTTTTGCATTTTTCGATTGTTGTGGATTTTGAGAGTCGCGGATACGTAGGATCGAACTAACTCAGATTATGGCTTTTGCATTTGGAGCGCGTAGGAGGTAAAGGCACGCGGCTTCTCGAAACGCAACGAGCAAAGGACAAAAATGTACATTATTATCGTAGTTAGAGGCACTTGTAAAGAAGTTAGTAAGAAGAGAGGAATAGGGAACGAGGCATTTCTTCTAGTCAACGGCAGATAAGATTTAATCGGTTCAACTTTTACCCGAGACGACCACTCGTACGTACTACCTCACTCGAGATTGGCTAGGACGGGCGGTATTTTCGATTTTCTTCGCGTACATTAGTTATCGCAGTGATAATTTCATAACATCAATGGTAAAGAGACGGAAACAAAATTAAGTACTTAAGAACGATAACTTTCCAATGCTACAATACTATAATTATTTTTTACATAGAGTTTATCGATTATGCAATCAATTTTCTGCACATAGATGAACTTTTCAAAACCTTTCATAATTTATCAATTTCCATCACACTATTATTCTTTATCAATGAAACTGCTCTTTTTACTAATTGACTACTTATTTCTTTTTTGCTTTATTTTTTATGACTAAAGTAGATCATTAATTTTATAAAATTGTCCGTTTATTCATTACCGTTGTGGTTAGCGGGAGAAGGGGGGGGGCGCAAAGAAAAAAGGCAAAATTATCCAAGATGGAAAATTTGGTTAATATATACGTTAATTTTATACAGATTGGAACGTCTTATTGACATGACCGACTTTACTGCCTTAACACAATATTTATTAATAATTATTTTCTTAGCTTTTAATTCTTCAAGGCGCGTTTATATATTAATTTAATTATACCCTTAACTATTATCTACTTAGGTGTGTGTCGTGTGTGTCGTGCGTGCATGTTTCCTACATGTAGATAGATATAAGTTTATTACGCTAACGAACGAAGTATCGCAAACTTTCGATCATTTTTTTTCTTCTTCTTTTTTTTTTAACTCGAATGCACAGAAACTCGTGCGCTTCTATAAATGCAAAATATTGCAATCGATCGGACATAAATAATTAAAAACATTCGCGAACTCCACGAATTATGTATAGACGGTAAAAGCTCATAGTGTCATGAGTTTTCAAAAGAATGACTCTAAAAAAGCAATTGTTTTATAACAGCCTAGAAGTGCACACATATTGAATAGGCATTTTGGATTCTAGAGATTCTTAATAATACCCGCAGAAGCCATATAATTACTAGATTTACTTGTAAGCGTGCTCCCATAAGCGTATGCAGTCACTTCGACGACATAGAAGTATTCACGAGATTGGTGAAAGAAGCCACAGTGGTTTATACACTGGACTGACATAATTGAGAGAGGGAAGAAGAGCGAGCGAGCGAATGAGAAAGAGAGAGAGAGAGAGAGAGAGAGAGAGAAAGAGAAAGAAAGAAAGAGTCAGAAGTAATACGGTTCCGAATTTTTCCCTTCGTTTTTGTCTCCATTATTTAAAGTTTCGTATATATATTTTATAATTATCATATCTAATACGATTAAATTTTTTTCGAATCTTACTATAAAAATTCTCATGTTACATATTGAAATTGTTTCAGTTGCGTCATAGCAATTAAATTTCTAAAACTTACCGATAAATGTTATTCAAATTACATTACAATATCCCGAATACACATGACAAACCATCAATTTTATTTTCTATTCGTAAAAATTAAGTGTTAACATTATTTAAAAATTAATCCAAATTTGTTATTAATTAATTACTCAAAATATTTCTTTATTCCGTTAAATGATCTACTTTTCTAATCGTTGTAAATGCCTTTTTATTATGTATTTGAAAAATAAAAGGTTTTATCACTAAATAGTATCTACACCATATTTATTTTATTTAAACGTTGGAAGGTTAAATTTAATTTTTCTGTCATTTTTATTTTTATTTAATGAAAGAGCTGGAATTTAATTATAAACCTAATTTTGTATTCATTTTACAATAATACATTAACCGTTGAAGCATAATTAATTGTATAATCTATTATTATAATTAATTAATTAATGAAAACATTTTATCTGACGAGTCTTTTTTCATTTGTTTTCTTATAGGAATGACACCAAAGAAGACGTATTTGTTCATCAAGTGAGTATTAAAAAAAAAATTAAATACATTATTAAAGTTATAAAAGAGAAAAATAATATTAAGAAAATGTGAAATTCTTTAAATATGTAAATTTAACAATAATTTTTTAAACTACATTAATTTAATAGAATTATGAAAAAGATATTAGGTATATAATTTTATTAAAAATATCGTTTATTTTTTCGATTTTTGGAAAATCAATTGGTTAGCTGTTTTTGCTTTATTCCGAAGTAAGATTGTGCTTTAAATTTTAGCTAATGTAATAAATATTCTTCATACACGTTCATAAATATTTTTTGTACTTCATTTTTCATTTAATAAGAGCTTATGCGTTTTATATATAATTTTCACTTGAGCTCTTAATTCAGATTTGTATAGTTTGTGTAAATACAGAAATTTGTTGTTTTAATACGTATTATTAAGATATTTTAATAACTTTGAAAATCTCTGAAGAAGCATTGGACGTGTATGATTGGTAATACGCGAATCACTATGTAGTAATTGAAAATTCTGCCATTTTTCCAGTTGAGCATGTAGATTATATACGAGGATAATCGTAATAGTTTTTTCTTTTATTTATTTGCTTATCTTCCGGTTTATATAAGTTTTGATATCATTTTTGTTGTTGTTTTTTTTTTTTGTGGCTACAAGCTGCTTTAAGTTCCATATTTGCTTCAAGAGTGGAGCTCGAAAGGGACATTAAATGTGAATAGGGGTTGCCAACATAAATGAAGTATTTTTGTAGAGTGTATTAATTTTATAGGATGAAAAGAATGACGAGAAAAATGTATTGAAACACTTTTTCTGTTTTTATGAAGGCGTAGCCTTAATTTTATTCCTATATGTAATTTATATTGTCAATCAAGCTGATTAGGAATATTATTGATTTTCCTGAAGTAATGTACACGTAGTATTTATCACGGTAACTGTTTTTTAAATCTCTTGTAAATTACATTTACCTACTATGCATAGTGCATTGACGCGCGCGCGCGCGTGTGTGTATGTGTTTACGTTGAAAAAAGATACTAGAAATTATAAATTAAATGGAGAGTTTATTAATGGCAAATGTTTTTTTAAACAACAGTATATAATTATTATGAAATCGACTTACAAAGTCACGTGCACTTAGTGCATCGCTATTCTAATATATAAAATTAGTTTATTTTAATTTATCACTGGAATCTCCGATTTTCCTTCATTATTAAATTACGTGCTAATTTAACCGATGAAAACATAAAAAAATTAAAGCAACTTATGAAAAATAACAATATTCAAATCAACAAATCGGGAAATTATTCTAATGCAAGTGTTTGACTTCGAAACCACGTAGGCATTTATTGGTATTGGACGAGAAGGTGTCGTTCGCCAAAAGTTTCATTAATTCTTTTAATATGTCCATTCGATTGCTCTATATTATAATCTAAGGCGATGACGAAAGCAGGGGCGCCTGCTCGCTTGTTTGCTTGCTTAAATTACTTGCAATGCTTGTGTGCGTGCTTAAGTGCGTGCGTGCGTGTAACAAAGGCCAATATAATAGAAGAGCGCATTGAAATTTCAGTCGGCCATCATAAAGAACAATCCGAGGAAAGCCGTGAGAAGCGTCGGCGATGGGGAGGTCGTCGAATTCGACGTGGTGATTGGCGAGAAAGGTAACGAAGCGGCCAACGTGACCGGGCCGGATGGCGAAGCAGTCAAGGGCTCGCCCTACGCGGCTGACAAGCGCCGCAATTATCGTCAATACTACAAGCGGGGCGGCTCTCGGCCTCTGCGCAGAAAAGGCGAAGGCCCGGAGGACTACGAGTCCGGTAAGTATTGATAACGGAAAGGAAGCGCCCGGGAATGAGCGAAACTCTTTGTAAAATCGATGTCCATTGTTATTGTAGGCGAGGGCGGCAAGACCGGTGACGAGCAGAGTGGCGGCGAAGGCGGCGGCGGCGGAGGAAGCCAACATCGACGTTACAGGCCTCGACAAAAGTTCGATGGCTACTACCGGGTTAACAGGCGCTCCGGAATCGGCGGAACTCAGCAGTCGGACAACGGCAGCGGGACCGAGGCTGCGACCCAGGGCAGCGAGCAGGGGACCGACGGCGAGGGCGGGGGTCCGCGTTCGGGAACCCGGGGCCGGGGCGCTCTGTCGAGGCGATTCTTTCGGCGACACTACCGAGGCAGTCGCGGAGTCGGAGCCGCCGGTGGCGGACCTACCAGGCGCCCTCGCAGTCAGGATGGCCAGGTACGTCTGTGAGGGACAGGGGTTTGGGCAATCGCACGTTGAACTAGTCCCCGGACTCACCTAACATTTGTTATTGTCCGTGTGCTTATGGGCGACAAGGTGTGCGCGTCTCGATAGCCATTATTTGTCGGGGGATGCACACCGATTTCGTCCTCCACGCGAACTGTTCAGTGTCACCGATATATTTACGGCACTCTCTACTCAAACATTTACGCTCTTTCTCTTATCTGCTGCTTTAATAGGAGCTTTTCGATGTAATTGCTAGTGATTATCATAATTGTCAAATTAATGAAAAGAATATCGATCAAGCCCTTCTTCTCATTCATTTGTCCTCCATGTATTTTCAAGAACGAACTTGGCTACAATTTGGCGCGCGATGTTTTAACAAATTTTTAAAATCCGCCCTACGACCTTTGGCGAAAGTACCAGAATTTAATACGATAATACCATGCGCATTGTGTTGATGTTTACAGTAACGTGAGTATGTAGTTATGCTATTAGGGGGGATCGTAAAAATAAAATATCTCAGGAAACGATCCCATAATTTGTCTGCCCAAATTACTTTATAGTTGATTTTCTTGTCTTCGAAGTAGATGAAAAAAGAAACGAGAAAAACGCATAGAAACGAAAACAAACATCATCGCACTTTTATCAACATCATTCCATTTAACATTCAAAAATAAAAATTAAAAAATTAAAAACCTATATGCGCCATTACGTAATTTCTAAACATCTCTGTACAAGTTGCACATCTTTTAAATAATATAAAATCTATTTTATAGTGATCGTGGTGTGTTAATATGAAAGGTATCAATGTTAAATGTGATCTTGAACATACATCGAACTTTATCAAAATAACGTTGAGTAATGAAATCTTTCTTTCAGAGATAAATACTTTTTATAACGTTGTTTTCGCACCAAAGTTCTCATATATTCATTGAATATATATTTTCATAAATATATCATATAGATGAAATTCAATCATTAATAAGGTTTCAAATAGAAAAAATAAAAATGTTATAATTTATAGCTTCATAATATTGTATATTTATGACATTGAGGAGAAGAAAATGGTTTTACGTAAGATTTTTTGTTGTTTCCGTTCGTTTTGTTTTAAAAAAGATCAGACAACAAATTATTTCATTATATCAAATTTATTGATATGCTAAAAAATGAAAATACGATAATAGTTAAAAAAAAAAAAAAAAAAGAAGAAAGAAAGAAAAAGAAAAAAAGTCACATTAGTATAATCATCCTGATGTTTTTCTTTCTTTTCACGTAACTTCCCTCTAAATTACTACCTTATTCTTATTAAATAATTATTTTTTTTTCTTTATACTAATAATCTATGAGTTTACCGCGTCTCGAATGCAAATATTTATCAACAATTTCGATAATTTGTTTCTTCTGCATGTAGTACCTTCAATGTTTCATGAGAGTTACTTATAATAAACTATAAAATAATTAATTGTAATAAATATTATATTCAAACTGTTTATGAATTTGAATGCCCAGAAAATAGGCTTAGTTGTCATATCAATTTGTTAGTATAATTTTGAAAATGATTTTTCTATATTTAACTGGCAGTGATCGAGCTAATTGTTTTTATTGTGGTAATGTCTTCTTATAGTCGTCTTCTTGGTTATATTTGCTCTTTTGAATTTCATTGTGAAAAACCCGCACCTTAAATTCTTTATTTTGCACTTTTCTTTCTTTCATTCTTTCATCTAACACAACCTGGTTACTGGAAAATCTCGAAAATGTATTTGTATCTCAATTGTTATTGGCATTTGAGTTTAAAAATCGAGTTCTATCATTATTTATTTATCTAACCGTAATTATTGATTTTTCAATTCATACTATTGTTTGCTAAAAATACAAAGTGGTAGATGTTTTTCTTAAATCTCTTAAATCAATTGTAAGAAGAATTTTGATTGTTAATCGAACATTCGAAGCTTCACATTTTTACCACACAAATGGTATTAAAAAATGGTCGTTTGAGACACGTAATAGAAATCTATTTTATCTATTAGATCGAATGCATTATAATAATTATAATATAGCTCTAAAGCATGCCAATTGTAAATTGTAAATTCATAGTGAAACTTGAAAGTTGTGGGCAAAAAATTTACCAATGCATTTATCGTAAAAAATTATTGTTTCATTTTAACTCACTCGAAAGTTTTACACGCATCTTCTAAAATTTGATGTGTAAACACATTGCATTAAAAGGAAAATTTCAATGTATAAATGTAGTATTGAAAATTAAATATTTTTATATTCTTTTTTGTTTATTTATAATAATCGTATAATAAATAAGATTTTATTATGTAATTTTATAATGTAGTAATGTCTCGAATTAGTTTATTAGCATGCATTAGTTTTCCAATTCGTTATTTTTAATTTTTTATAAAATAAAATTTTATAAGATAAAATTTAAAACAGTTTAGAATATCTTCTTGTCAGATTTTTCGACAAAATCATAACGTTTTTCTTATTAGCGCGCGTGTGCGCGCGAACACCTCTATTCATATTATCTGCATATGCAAAAGCAATTATATTTGGGCTAGTTTTACAAATTTATTGATAACGTATGATTTTTAAGAAATTAAAATTCTTGTTTATAAAAATATTAGTGTTGAGTTTTGTATGATTTAGTTAAATAATTGTATCATGAATTTGATTTAGCCTAAACATTGTGTTAATATTTACCACATTCAATTAGTTTGCTAGGTATTGTCGATTTTAGAAATAAAATAAAAATTCATTTATTCTTCTCTATTGGAGTTTATAGTAATTGTCTCTTGTCTAATTTTTCAAACATTTTTCTAAGAATTTATGTCGTTCAGCGATATAAATCTAAATAAAATTTAAGCAATCAATGAAAAATAAAAAATATACGAAGTTGCTAATATTAAAAGATGAGACTTCAATTTACATAACGCTATTATAATTTTGTTAAACAAGGAAATTGAAAATAGTTTTTTTTTTTTTTTTTTTTTTTTTTTATATTGAAAAATACAAGTATCCTGAAATATATTATTTTGAAAAATTATATTTTATTATCCTTTTGTAATCTATCCATATGAGAAATATCATCGTTAATACGACGACGAAATAATTTTTGAAGATTATATATAACATTTTCTTTACAAATATATGATGAGAATATGAATATTGATTATAATAATACCAGGATGTCTTATACTATTTCTTACATTATTAACTGGAAACAAATAAAGCCTTAGACAACAGTACCCAAGTGACGATCGGATAAAACTTATTATCTTACGTATGCAGTAATAGACTTTGTAAGGGTTTGGATGCAATAAGATAGTTTAATTTGAGATTTTTCACATATATTAATAAAATAAAAGGCGAAAAACTTAATGGATAATTCTTTTATTAATATCACTTTTATTTTAATACGATAATTAGGATTAATTATAATATTGTTCATATCTATTTAAGATAATTTCAAGTGATTTATTAATAGATTGGTGAATCGAGAAAGTTTATTTTTTCGTTATAAACTGTGCGATTAAGTTATTCCAATTAAGATATCGAAAAATCATCTTATTCGAAATTTTCAAAATTTAACGTATCAACAAATTCAAAATCACGTAAAAATTATTGGTAAAGATCCAGTGCTAAATGATCAAGTGTTTTTTACGACAATGATTTTAGTTTCTTTTTTTACAATGCAATGAATTGACATATGGCATACCTCGATTTTTCGTAGTAAAGCTTGGCACACACTGCTGCACGTATCTCTTGTACCATTTTCAGTCGGAGCAGAAGTCGGATGCACCTGTAGAAAAGGATGCACCTGCCGCTGTCCCTGCTCCACAGGTAAATTTAGATTTTTGCACTTTTCGCTTTTTCTTTTGAATTTCGCCAAGTTGTAGCACGTTAGTTCTTTACAAACTTAGTTTAGAATATCCTTTGTTTTGTTTGTTTTCATTTTTTTTTTGTTTTTTTTTTTTTTGTTTTTTTTTTTTTTAATACTTCATTTATTATACGCTTTCCCTTTCGCAATTTCTGTTTATACTATATATAGCAACGGTAACATCGAGCAATCATTATTACCGCTTCTGTTATCGTTAGCGTTATTATTATTGTTATCATAATCATCATCGTCCTAATTATTGTAATTACTCTCCTTACAATTATTGATTACCACTATTAGTACTATTACCACTACTGATACCACCGCTACTACCACTGCTACTACCACTGCCACTGCTACTATTTAAACCATTGCTACTATTGTAGTTTATAAGGTGGAGCTATATTGATTGTTAAAATTTCTGATTTTAGTAACAGTAATAACTTGTAAGCGTTTTCGCGAATCTAAGCTATTATCTGCGAATAAGAAAAAAAAACATTTATTATTGCATTTCAATTTGTATTTTGAGTAAATTTTAAGAATTATTTAAAATTAAGGCCATTATTACGTTAACGAATTATTATTAATTATTATTTAATTAATTATTTATGTTTCTGTGTTTTTTTTTTGTTTGTTTTTTTTTTTTATTTTGTTTTGTTTTTAATGGATATATGTTTAATTAAGCATATTTGTTTATCGAGACGAGGTTGGTACGGCAGTTTGAGCTATAAATGCTTTAAGGCATAACACTTCTTGATAAGTATGTTAATTTTACGTTGCATATTGTCAAATTGAGTTTTTTTTTATTTTTATTTTTTATTTTTTATTTATTTTTTTTTTTTTTTTTTTTTTTTTTTTTTTTTTTTTTTTTTTTTTTTTTTTTTTATTTTTCATGATTATTTATTATAAAAACATTACACTCTATTATATGAAACTATTTAGAACAATCAATGTAGTACAATATAATAAAGTGAATAATGGAATTTTCAAATTTAAGTGAACCTATTTATTGGATGATAATTGTTAACCATAAACTTCGTCGTAGCCTTAACAAATTTTGAAAATAAATGCATCAATTGAAAGCGACATCGAAATCGCAATTCTGTAATAAGTGAAATTTTTACTTCCTCTAGGAGAGTCAGCCGGCGCAGAATAACGCATCCAACACCACCACCGAAGGCACTGCTTAACCATCGACAGTCGTCGCCAATATAAAATCACCATCCCTCTCTACAATAACACTGCGATCTGTTATTAAGTACGAGGCGACGGAAATAAAGTAATGCAAAAAAAACAAAAAAAACAACAACAACAACTACTACTACTACTACTACTACTACTACTACTACTACTACTACTACTACTACTACTACTACTACTACTACTACTACTACTACTACTACTACTACTACTACTACTACTACTACTACTACTACTACTACTACTACTACTACTACTACTACTACTACTACTACTACTACTACTACTACTACTACTACTACTACTACTACTACTACTACTACTACTACTACTACTACTACTACTACTACTACTACTACTACTACTACTACTACTACTACTACTACTACTACTACTACTACTACTACTACTACTACTACTACTACTACTACTACTACTACTACTACTACTACTACTACTACTACTACTACTACTACTACTACTACTACTACTACTACTACTACTACTACTACTACTACTACTACTACTACTACTACTACTACTACTACTACTACTACTACTACTACTACTACTACTACTACTACTACTACTACTACTACTACTACTACTACTACTACTACTACTACTACTACTACTACTACTACTACTACTACTACTACTACTACTACTACTACTACTACTACTACTACTACTACTACTACTACTACTACTACTACTACTACTACTACTACTACTACTACTACTACTACTACTACTACTACTACTACTACTACTACTACTACTACTACTACTACTACTACTACTACTACTACTACTACTACTACTACTACTACTACTACTACTACTACTACTACTACTACTACTACTACTACTACTACTACTACTACTACTACTACTACTACTACTACTACTACTACTACTACTACTACACTACAACAGCTAACAGCAAGCAGCAGCAACAGCAACTCTAAAGACAACAACATTCTATAACAATCGCTATATATATATATATATATATGAAAACAAAACAAAACAACAACAACAAAAAAAAAAAAAAAAAAAAAAAAAAAAATTAAAAAAAAAAGAATGAGAAAAAGAAAGATTACCAGCAAACACTACTCCACAGTCTCCCCACGAAACTTAAATAAAAATACGAAATTGTCAGCTAAAATTGCGGTACGTAATGCAATAACAATGGATAATAACAACACGGCTAAACGATTCAAAGTCAGTAAATGTTTTTGGTAATTCAGCGACGAAAAAATACCACATTGATATGGTTTTAAAGCGAGAGATAAAAGCAGTTAGATCCATTTAGCGAATCCTAAAATGAAGACACACACATAAACAATTTCATTACTACTCAGTATATAATATTATTTTATATTTTTTCTTTTATTTATCTACGTTCTCGTTGACGGTTTTCTTTACGTTTTACTTAAAAGCAATTAAGGTTTGCGCGAACAATATTAATTTTTTCCTACACTTTTGTCTCCGAAAATTGTAACTGCTTATTATTACTATTATTGATTTGAGAATTAGTACTGTAATTTCTGCTACTTAGTACTATAATAATGTCAGCTTACATTCTTAATATTGTTATTATTACTTCGTGGTGCATAAGAGAGAAGCGAGACAATTAGCGGTGAAATAGTCGCATTAGGAGAGGGGGGGGGGAAGGGACCGACCTTGTTACACGTTTTGATTATACTTATATAATTGACAGCAATATGTGCCTTCGGGTTACGAAAAGCTCTACTTATTTTCGCGCAATGCACCGTAAATGAGCTTTTTAGGGAGCGAGACAGAGACTGCGTACCAAATTTTGTTGTAAGCCAACGTGAGGGGGGAAAGGCAAATGAGTTTCCGTAAGATCAGACTATTTTTCTGTTCTCGTTTTTTTTTTTTTTTTTTTTTTTTTTTTCCCCATCGTTTCAATGTTTTTTCTTCGACTTTTTCCGCTCATTGAAACGCGTTGGATCGTAATTGTCATAAAATGGTCCTTTGTTTCGTTTTACCTACTATTGATATTTGTACGTACGTGTCGAGTAATTATGTGCGATGTGTCGCCCACTTCGGAATTCGTTGAGAAGTCAATAACGAAATATAATCATGAAACTTAATCATTTTATTGTAATAACGAGCGAGTCTGGCGCGTTGTCGAGATGGTGCGCGTATTTCTTACGAATAAGAAATGTAAAATACAAGTGCGCAACAAAAGTAAGCGAAAGCCCTCTCTCGATTATCGTCGGACGTTTCAAATTTTTCGATAAACTAATGGGTTATTATTGTATGTATAATTTGGCGCTTCACGATTAGAAACGAAATTCTAATTTTCGAAGGTTTAATTCACCCGCGAGTATTTTTCTAGTAACGAAACGAATGTAGTAAGTTAAAGAGCATAATACACAAGTTCGATCAACGATCAACTTTCCAGCAAAATTCGAGACTTAATGTTACACATCGAAGAATTTGCTTTGCGTTTTGTCGAAAACTTAATGCAGATAAAGTTGTCTCTGTTCAATATTTTTGTCTCGGCGAGTTGCTCGTACGAATTTGTTTATCGTATGATAAATCAGGAACCGTAAGTGACAGTGTCACGCACCATATTTTGTCAAAGCAAACAATGTGAAAAACGAAGTGATTTGTACGAAAAGAAAATAACAAAAAAATTCGCATGATCTTTTTTTTTTAAAAGAAAAGACAAAAATCATAGTTTGTAGCATCGTCCACTGGATAATAAAGTGTACATTTTTCTTTCTATAAAAACAAAAATCATTCACCATTGCGATTTCTTACGAGTCTCGGTCTCATCTTATACGAACGCTCATTATTTCCATCCGCATTTTTGTCTCGTCGATGTAAGGTGTAATATACAATTGTTGCCCTTGCACGCACACCACACCACACCACCATTTTCTCTATAAATAAATAATAATAATAATAAAAATAAATTTAAACAAAAATAAATAAATAAATAAATAATAATTATAAAAGAAAGGGAAGGGAAGGAAAGGAAAGGAAAGAAACACAACTCGCGTCCCTATTTACGAGTAAGTATAATCGTTCTTCCTTGTTTCTTGTTGGTGAACGATGTTTTTTTCATCGAAATTTTTACAAAGAAAATGATGAAAAATCTCATTGAAGCCTTTTGTGATTTGTGTGCATTATATCTTTGTTTGCGAAAAAAAAAAAAAAAAAAAAAAAAAAAAAAAAAATTATAATAATAAAACAAATAATTAATAAAAAAATAAAAAAAAGAAAAGTAATCAAGAGGATACATAAATAAATAAAAATCTAGGAATTGCTTTGTCGAAGTAGACACAATATTTGCATTCGATCGTGTTCTCGTAATCGTCTATGCTAATCTTACAAACACGTATTAGGTAATAAATTATGAAGGCGGTTAAGCAGCAATTTTTCGGCTATTGGTTGTAAACAGATGAAATATCTATATGAAAAGGCTTGGAAAAAAAAAAAAAAAAAGAGAGAGACGAGCATGTAAAGTAAACGCGACCGACATTTTATCGCATAAAGCAATTCGAAGATTACTTTAACTACAGGTTATAAGGCCGAATGTATAATCCAACACGAAGAGAGAAAGAGTCGTGGCTGACTGTGAAATATAATAATTAAAGAGAAAAAGAAAAAATAAATAAAACGTACGATGCATGTGTTGAGTGAAATTTCAAAGTCAAGCATAATTACTAATAAACTTAGAAAACAATGATTGATAAAGTTTACGAACAACGGGATAAAGCTCAAGGGGAGAGACTGGTTGAGATCGATGATGGGAGACTTGAACTTCGATCTGCCTCGTCTCCTTTATATAATTTCCAACGATAAAATCCTTAAAATCAACATCCAATTTTTTCATAAAAGAGCACGTGGTGTTTTGCTATGTGAAACAGGAAAAGCATTATTTTAAGCATAAAATAATAATAAGAATAAGAATAATGATGAAAAGAAGAGAGAAAAAAAGAGTAAAACACAAAAAAAAAAGAAAAAAAAAAGCACGCACCGCCTTCTTTCTTTCGCTTGTTCCATCCTTAATCGAGAATAATCTGGCTATGAATGAAAAGTGAAAAGGAGGTCGAGAAAATTGCATTGGCATTTTCTTACCTCGAATTTAGAGCAACGAGATTTTGAAGAAGAAAATTATTTATTTTTTTCTTCTTCTTCTTCTCTCTCTCTCTCTCTCTCTCTCTCTCTCTCTCTCGTTTGTTTGTTTCCGTTTTCCCCCGCCCCCGTAAGCCAGCTCTAATGCAAGTCAAAAGCCAAGATTGTTAAATGAGGGGTGTTCAATTTTTTTTTTTTTTTTTTTTTAGCAAAATCTCTTGCACGACTGAAGTGAATAATAAATGAAATGAAAAAAAAATCGAAAAAAAATCAACAAAAAAAGTGAAAAAGATAAGAAATCGTTTGTGGACTATGACACTCGTTTGCAAAACGAAAGTCTTGCGTCCCGCGTAAAGCGTTGGGCAAAGTGTGCCCAGTGAATTTTGTACCGTAAACAGAACTTTAAAGAAAAAAAAGTAAAAAAGTAAAAAAAAAAAAAGAAGAAAAAAGAAGAAAAAAGTCTAAAAAATGAAATCGCGAAACTAATGCTAATTTCGTAATACGGAATTTAAATTTTTTTCACGAAACATGTGCATTATAACGAAATAAACGAAACAAAAAAAAAAATCGAAAAAAATCAGGAACAACATGCGAGTGTTTATTTATTTTATTACCCATGCTTACATTTAAATGCCATAATCATTGTTTTTTGTTTTTTGTATTTGTTTCCCCCCCCCCTCCCAAATATTGACGAACAAAGCGCATTATATGGAAAGTCAGTCATTAATAATGAAAATCGTTGGCAATTAATATTAGATAATTTCAATTCTTTCATTTGTTAAAGAAATTTTTAGCAAAAACAGTTTTATGTATATACAGTTAGATTTTTAATATAATTAAGCAATTTTTATAATCTTTCGTTATATTACAGACTAGACGGAAAAATAATTAATTTTCCTTTTAAAAATATTTAATTTGATTATTTGTTCGTTAGTTCGTTTTTTTTTTTTTTTTTTTTTTTTTTTTTTTTGAAATTATTTGGCATCGATAAACATTACAACTGAAACAAAAAATATAAAAAAAATTATATAAATAAATATACTTGCAATATAATTGCTGTATAAGACATTTTGTCAAGTTTTTTTTTTTTTAATATTGAAACGGTTCGTTATCTTTTTAATTAGCTTCAATTATGCATCTTGAGGGTTTTGTCAATTCCTTTATTTCAAATGCGAGTTGTATTATTATGTGTGTATTTTTATTATTATTATTATTATTATTATAATAATAATAATAAAAAGAAAAAAAAACGAAACTGTAGATAAAACTTATATAATATCATAAGTTCAATAGAAAAATTAAAATTATATTTAACGTTTGGCCTGTAAAAATGGTCTCTTATCGTAATAAGATTAACAAATCACATATTCGGTATATTGAAATAGGTCCAATTTCGATTTAGTATCCATTAAAGAAATCTTATCGTTAATAATTTTAGCTTTTATATATATATAAAAAAATTTCTTTGTAGTTTATTATTTGTTAAATTGTTATTTTTAATGAATGTCCAATAGGTATCGTAAGTGACGAGATTGCCAATGTAATTATTAAATACATAGTATTAACGACGAAAGCTTGCGGTTTTTCAGGGAGACGACAGGGGCAGCTCGTCGTTGCTTGGCTACGGTCTTCCACAATATCCTAATGAGAACAAAAAAAAAAAAAAAAAAAACATTAAAGTTGGATTAATTTAATTAGATCGAGCCTACCCGAAGCTATAAATAATGATTGTAAAACATGTAGCATGAAATGTTGAAAAAATAAAGTTTCAAGCTTGGCGGGTTTGAGCTCAAGTCGTTGATGATGTAAGGCGACGAGGCTCGATTAACGTCAATGGTGGGATATATAATAAAAGGATATATAAATTCGTCGGATAATAATTCGTTTATTTATTATTCCTTATTATGGAATAAGTTTCTACTTGTACGGGCCTCGTGCCTCGGGCCTCGAGCCTCGAGCCTCGGGCCTCGATCCTCTCGCGCCCGGTGTGACGCGTCTAAAGTAAGAAAGATGTCGACGAAGCCCTCTCCTCCGGTCTTGCTATTTATTATTGTCTCCTCTGTCTGGCGGTGTAGCTCGAGAGCCCAGGGCCCGTCGCTCGATTATTATTCGCCCGAGCAGCGACCTATTGCCTAATGAAAAATCGCCTCGTTCGAGCGAGACGCTTACGTTCCGGTTCGCTCCTCGTCAACTATTTTTAAATTGTGCGCGCGCGCCGTTGTGTGCGTTTCGCGCGAGTGTCGCATCGGTGAGATGCAGCTGGTGCTCGCGGCACGTCACGGAAGTGTGGAAGTGTGGTTGGTAGTGATGGGGCGAGAGGTGGTGGTGGGGAGGTTAAGAGATTGATCACGCGGGAGCTGAAGTAAGAAAGTGGGAATTGGAAAGATTGCGCGCTATCCATTTTGTTTATTAAAGGGCGAGGGAGGCCGAGTTAGATGAGTTTGAGGGATAGTGAGAGTGTCGGCAAGAGCAACGAGTTTGAGTAAGACAGACAGAGATTGTGTGAGAGTGGGATTTCGATCGACGGCCATTAAAAGCGACGCAACGCGACATTAGCCAGAACTTCCGGGAGTGATCAGTTGTACGCGTTAGATAGAGAAGGCGAACGAGTGTCAGAGAAGTGGTCACTGGCTCCTTACTTATTGGTGCTTAGTCCCCTCGTTACTCTGGCTTGTCGATTACGCTGGCATCGTGTTGTGTACCAAGAGCTACGTCGTAATAATATTAGCCTAATATCGGATAAGGACACACTTACGTGCTCTTGCTTTGATCGAGGCGAGGCACTTTAGCGGAAGAAATGATCGGATTAGATTAGTTGATAAAGTACATTTAGGGTTGATATATTGATCGGAGATATAGTAGATGTTAGGACGCTGCGCGAGTGTAACCTTAAAATACGAATAATAGACTTAACGCCCGTCGCAACGATATTATTAATATATATGAGTCTCCTCGTGTATTAGCGAGTCGTTGGACATTGAAAGAGGCATCGTTGAGCGACTTTATCGAGGCATTATTTTCTAAATAAGTAAAAGTTTGTTTAGCTTTCCCAAAGTTGGTATTTCCAACCTTGTTGTGTAGCACAGTCCAATTGGCCAGTCTCAGTGGGAGTAAGTTAATTTCAAATAATGAGTCCATTGAATAGAGGTCCACTGATGGGTCCACGGATTCCACCTGCAGCAATGAGGCCACCGATGCCCAGATTTGGCAGGGTACCTCCGCCTCCGCCACCGGGTATGGCTCGACCCATGCCACCCCCACCGATCAATCCCATGTTTGGTATCAGAGGCAGGCCAATACCGCCGCCGCCGCCGCCGCCGCCGCCGCCGAGACCAGGACCGATGATGGGTAGGCCGGGAGTGCCCGTGTGCCCGCCGATGTTCCCCAGAGGCAGACCGCTGCCGCCTATGCCACCGATGGGGCTCAGAGGGCCCATGGTGCCTCGTGGTCCCATGATGAGACCGGGACCCAGAGGCATTCTTCCACCCCATGTTCTGCCCCACATGAGGCCGAGGTTTCCACCTAATCATCTCAATGGCAAGGGTAAAATGAATGCTAAAAAGGCCAACAAACTCGAGGTACGTCTTTCGACGATACATCACGTAATTGTTATTGTTGTTGTTGTTATTACTGTTGTTATTATTATTATTATTATTGAGCGTGAAATTTAGTGAAAAATTAGTGTTGAAATGCGCAAGTAATGCCATTCGTTAGAGCACAAAAACGACGATGGAAATGTAACAAAATTTTACATAGTCTTGATCGCTTGGCAAAGGATAATTAAGTTATCTAGGGAAAATTTTTAATTATTCTTAACGTGTAAATTATGTTTTTTCTTTTAAATCACTATGTATTTCATACATAAATGTGTCTAAGAAATTCAATGTATTTATACAATTATTCCGTTATAAAGGTAAATAAAGCTTACTATATAACAATTTTATCGTGGACTTTATAATTCTCGCATCATTCTGCGAATTAAATTTATTTTACATTAAAGTCAATATCCAGCTGTGCTTCGTCGCCTCAAACTTATTTATTTAAGCATTAATTTATCCGCTGTTTACAAACAATGTTTGTAGACTTTCTGTGCGCTTTGCTTTCCAGTTTGTTTGCTTTACTTTCGTTTCTATCTTAGGAATTAGAATTAAAGAAGCCATGGATGACAGATGAAATTCGCAGCGAAATTCAAAAGAAGAACAAGCTTTATGCCAAAGCTAAAAAAAATAAGGATGCCAAGGAATGGGAGGAGTTCAAGGATTTGCGAAACAAAGTCACTCGAATGATAAGAGATGCCAAAAATGAATATCTTGCAAAAAATCCTGAACAGGTATTTTCACAATTACAATCGAATGTGTATACATTTATTTTTCATTATTTTCAACAATAATTATTTAAATTTAAAAATAACTACATGGATATTGAATCGATATTCGTTTATCTGCAACCTATTATCAAATAGACAATAATAATAATAATAATGACGACGACAACGACGACGACGACGACGACGACGACGACGACGACGACGAATTAACAGATTATCAGCTTTCACCCACTACCAAGAAAATTTGTTTCAAAATACCGTCTTTATGAATAGGCAAAATTAAAAATATCCATGAATTTATCTCTTTACACAGCGTTTACACAGTGCATGCTCTTTTTAAACTATAAAAAATACATACTGCATTAATAAATGAATTTACGAGAAGTACCAGTAGAATTACTTAGATGGATAAAAAATTATTGAGTCCAGCTGTTGCAGCCCAAGACCAAAAGCATTCATTCTAGAGTGTTCAAAAACCTATGTTATAAATTAACCTACAATGCAGTAATCAATGAAAATAGTTAACCTCTTTTAGCGGAGAGTCGATAGTTTTAAAAATTCCTTTCATTACAGGTTGCTCAGAAAACAGCTGATAAGAGTACTGTTGAAAAAGAAAGTGTTCAGAAAACTGAGAATACAACTGAGCAAACAGAGCAAATGGAGCCTAATGGGGAGAGCAAGCCTTCCAGCGAACAAGCAATGTCTTAAGCTTCATAGGCTACTCCTCCTTAAATTAATCGAGCGCTTGGTCGAAATTGAAACACCACTTTAGAACCTCGGACTGATTACTATTTCACTATTCAACTTTTTTTTGTTACTTATTGAGATCTTAGTAACATTGACGTATATCAATTTGTCTATCATCAATAAGGCTTAATGAAAAAAGCATAACACAATGTGCACACTTTACGTGTCTTCGTTATATATAATGGATTAAAGACGCTATTGTGTTGCATGATTAATTTTCCATTTTTCTGAGACATCTCTTAGATAAGTAAATGAATGTAATTATATTGCGATGTCTTAATAATGAATATTGATATTTCACTAACTTTACAAAACGTTACACAATCGTGTTAAAAGTATAATAAATTATCCAAAAGCACAGTGTGAAAGGTTTATTTGTTTGAGAAAAATTGATACTTTATCTATATCCGAGCACTTTGAAATTGTTTGAATTTAGTATTTATTTACTGAATGATAAAAATGTACAAAAATAGTTTAATGAACTGATATTTCACTAACTTTACAAAACGTTACACAATCGTGTTAAAAGTATAATAAATTATCCAAAAGCACAGTGTGAAAGGTTTATTTGTTTGAGAAAAATTGATACTTTATCTATATCCGAGCACTTTGAAATTGTTTGAATTTAGTATTTATTTACTGAATGATAAAAATGTACAAAAATAGTTTAATGAACACGAAAGATATATATATATATATATATATATATATATATATAGAGAGAGAGAGAGAGAGAGAGAGAGAGAAAGAGATAGATAGATAGATAGATAGATATATATAAATATATAAATATACACACGCTAACGCATCATTTACTATGCATATATACGAACATGCATACATATATACACAATTTATTTATTAATTTCTTCGATGAAGTAAAGAGCTATAATAATTTTGATTTAATTTTTAATTTATTTTATTTTATTTTATTATTATTATTATTATGTTTTTTTTTTTTTTCAAGTTCAATTATTTTAGTATCCTAGTCGTTGTTGTATTTTTTCAACTTATAAGGCTTTGAATTAATTTTCCTTTTAAAATCAGATACAGAATGTACAGAAGACACAAATTTGATAATCAATGAATAATTATGTTGAAAATAGCATGGACTTTGGAAGATGGGGGAATGAATTGATTAAATTTCGGTTAACTTAAACTCGCCCGTATTTTTTCATGTGCCAATTGTTATATTTATGTTGTTGGTGGCGTTACCTGGATGATTAAAAAAACTTATTTAATTTTTAAATTTCAGTTTACGTTGCTTACATAACAATCAGCGTAGTAATTTAACGATACATTTTTTTATTGATCTATAATTTATTTTCAATATGAATAAATACTAAAGGCAAATTGTTTTCATTATCTTTCACTCGTACATTTTTTCTTAAATGAATAAATCCTAACTTTGCTATGCATTTTCTTAATATTGAAAATGATAAATGTAATGCCCGTATGTTAACTGGCCTGTAGAAATAAAATCAATTTCATTCAAATTGGCTCCTTAATTGCTCTTTGGCCAGTAGCGCAGTGCTCCAGGTTATTTTACGGAATATTTCCTTTTAGTCATTTATAAAAAGGATTATTATTTATATAATGATAATTTACTACATGTAGGATTAGTATCAAATTGTCTTTAAATGATTTCTGTACAGTACTATGTAGCTTGCAGCATTGCAATATTAAATGAATTTCTGTCACAAATTAAATTTTTTATCATTACTGCGTAATTATAATTAATAATCTTAATAAAATTATTTAACTATTTACAAATATAGATTTAAAAAAATGACTTATGGCATTTTTTTTGTATCCAAGTCCATATATTGTAAAAAATAAATAATTGTACAAATTTGAATGATTGTGTACTTCTTCTTCTTCTAAATTTGTGTGATCATTTAAAATCTCGAAAGTAATTGTAACAATTTATGTACAGATTTTTTCAAGTCGAAGTTGTATATATGATCAATCTTGATGTTAACATTCAACTATTATTTAATTTCAATATGTAAACAACAATCGTCACGGTTTACATTTTTATTTTACATTAATTTTAATCATTATAACTTAACACTGTACAATCTCATTTCAAACGTATTTTAATTTCTAATTATAATTATTTACTTTAATGTAGTACTTAATTTGTAATTAACATTTTACATCAAAAATATTTGCTCATCTTTGAGTATATTTTTTATTAAAGAGCGTAAGTCATTAGTTTCACAAGATTTTCAAACATTTTTATTAATAATTAATAATTTGTATCAAAATGCAATTAAGGTATAAGTTTTCTAGTTTTCTGAACAAATTTACTATGCATTTTAGTAATCCGTAGTAATATATATATATATATATATATATATATATATATATGTTTTTCTTTTATCCTGAAATCAGCCGTGTTCGTGTAAAAATTAATCGTGAATATCGAATTAGACTAATCAAAGTAAACGTAATGAAAAGAGACCGGTGGAGACCGAGTCATTTCCTGAAATAATTTAACGATGGAAAGTATGTTCTTCTCGATAGAGTCCAGCTCAGTCTTATATTTCTTTTTCAGCTTTATTCAAGAGACCAGTTGTTACTTTATAATTTTTAGGCACATCTTTATGAAAACGATGATGCAATCGAGGAAGCTAATGATGGGCATGATGAGATCAATGAACTCTCTACAGACTCCGAAGAAGAATCTAGTAATCTTTATTGTGAAGTTTGCGACAGAGATTTCGATTCTAAGGAGCTGCTCCAGAAACACATCGAAGAACATCAAACTTGCAACATCGATAGCTGTACCTTTACCGCTCATCCAAAAATAGTTGAAAAACATATCAGCATGCAGCATTACACCGGCTTATATCACAAAATGAAGAATTTGTCAAGCGAAGAGGACATTAAAAAGTGGAAGGCTGAGAGAAAAAGGTGAATTAAATGCTTATTTTTAAGTATGTAAGACGAGTAATAAACAAAATTATGAAAATTTTTATTCTAACATTAAGCTCTAAGAGAGGATATATAAGAAATTTACTTTTCATACAATATTTTCCAAGATATGGCATAATAATAATAATAATAATAATAATAATAATAATAATAATTTTATAATTACAGGCTATATCCAACGTCGGTCAATATTCAAATAAAACAAGCTACCCATCTGGAGAAGAAAAAGCGTGGGGAAGTTATTGAAAATCAATCGAATAGGGCACATGGCACATTTAAAAAAGAAAATTTGCGAAAGAATCGTAAAAGGAAACGTAATAAATTATTCAAAAACAACAATTGCCAAACAATAGAAGATGGTACTGTTTATAGAAATTTACGGGCATTTACTGGCACAGGTAAATTATTCAATAATCAATAATAATGTAAATTTATAATATTTAGCCATCTTGATTTATCGATTCAGAATGTTAATGTTATTATTTATATTGATAGGTGTACTTGCAACAGCGGATGAAAATGATTGTCAGCCAACAGAATTTAAGGAAACTGAAGCTTTAGTGGAATGTAAAATTGAAATTTCAGATGAAGAAACTCAAGCGAGCGAACAATCGACAAAGATACACGTACCTTCGAAAATATTTAGTTTGGTTGCTGATTATGGAAGCAATTCCGATAATGGTAATAATTATATTTGCCTATGAAATTTTCATTTATCAATCGGGTGTACTCATTATTATAACATTTCTATTAAGATGAACCTCCGGACGAAGTATCTACTAAACTATTAAAATTAGAGGACAATGAAATTGATGAATTGTCCCAGTCGCAAATTGTATCATCGACAGTTAAGGAAAATCATAAAGAGAACGTGGCCCAAGCTGTCAATTTACCGACAACAACGAACAATAGGAAAACAAAAGTTAATAAGAGCATAAAAAGAAATAACGAAAAAGCAATTCGCACAAATGGTCAAGAGATTTCCAAAAATAATAAATCAAATAGACTCCAAAAATCCAAACATTTTGAAATCAGCAGCGGTAGACTAACATTATTGAAGAAATTGCTAGCGCGCTCCATACAATATGAACGTAATGTCATTTTTCAGTGCATAAAATTTATTGCTAACAATAATTTCTTTGACTGACCAAGCCACCTCATTATCGCTCATTACTAAAAACAAACGAACTTGTACAGTTTTACAGTACAAAATGAAAATGTTAATACTTAAGAAGGTACAATTTTAGACAAACAAAGAACAAAAGACAAAAAAAAGCAGAAAAAAAGTCTTTTCTTAATATATTTTTTATACTGTATAGAAGAAATTTTGTAAAATATGTAATTATTTTAATCGTTTTATAATAAAATGTATTATAAATATGTCAGAGTTAAAAGTCTTTTATTAACAAAATACAATATAAAATAACTCGAATGATAACTAATGCATAAATTAATGATAAAATAATAGATATATCTGTCGCATACAACTTTCTAATTGTTAATTATTAATACATACGTACAATTTATATATTTAAATATTTTACATCTTTTTAATATTACAAACGTAATTTTGTCTTTATAATACAAAGTATAATTTCCTCCCCTGCGTTGCTATAAAATTACTGAGCGCAGTAATACAAAGTATAATTTTTCACTTTTCATCTTTTAAATTTATTTAGAAATACTACATGTTTCACGATTTATTATTCTACGTATTTTTGTCTATTTAAAATTATCAGATATGACGACCATGTTGAGTCAACTACCAAATATAATAGAATTATTGTATAACATTGGCTTGATTCACGCAAGTAAAATTTTCGTATCGTAATTTCGCTATAAATGCTGACGCAGTCAACTGTTTTTAACTTTGAGTAAACAACAATTTTCATATTTACTATTATACAAATTGTTTTTCCAATTAAATAGCAATGCTTTTACGAATAATTATTTCATAATTTCAAGACAGCGCGAAATTCGTTTAAAGCACTTTTGTTTTGATATTACTAGGATATATACATTTAGTGGGTGCAATTAAGCTTACAACCTATTGCCAAAGTTGTTTGTATTAAATGTATTTTTTTTTTAAATTAGCTTTACCCTCGTACTTATATAGAATATTAATGCAACGTTATATTAATAATTTGACTCCCGTGTTGCATTATAAATAAAACAAATTAATCGTATCGCTAAAGTTGATTGCACACTCTATTTTAAGCGGGTAGTAAGTAGTTTTGAACACTTTGAGTAGGCCATGTTAATTAAAATTTCAGATCTTGACCGGGTAAAAGTCAGCATGTAAGAAAATTTTAATCGATGACTAATTTAAAAGCTTTTTTGAATATCAACGAATTACATTCATGGATATTGTCATATTGCGAGGCAAACGAGCTGCTATTGTATCCGCTAACGCCTGAGGTAATTCATGCCATATGTATTTTCCACTGATAGAGACTTCTTCCAACGGAGGTTTAAACGATATGAGTAGCGTTAAGCAAAGACCATCGCCTTCTCCAGTCCCACTGAATTCAACCGATAACAAACCATGAGGTTTGTGCTGTGGTATACCTTCTCCAAAAATTTCCTTAAAAATCAATCGATCGATCGTTCAGTAAGGTTAAAAGCAATCGTTTGCAAATCCATTAAATGTTAAGGAGGAGTAATTAATTTCCACTCGCAAGTAAGTCGATTAGCATTAATTCATTATTTATGGATTAGATTATGTCAAGATGTTTAAATTGGTTGAACGACGCGGTGAAGGTAGATATCGTTGTTGGCGTTTGTCAGAGATAAAGCGAAATGATAAAACTTAATGGATTGAAATTTAGCGTAAAGCTTGGTAAGGTTGTCTTGGTAAGAATCCGAGGCTCGATTAATATAACGATTGTAGCACAAATTCATATAAAAGCAATAAAGTGTCTTGAAAGTAAGGAAAAAACCAATAGCCGTAATTTCTTCTCAAATTCTCAAGCCAAAGGCATCGAGTCTAGCACGCATGGCATTTGCAATTTCTGGATGCTTTAGAATCTTACGCAAGAGCCCCTTTAATCGCATTTTCCTAATTACCGACTGAATTTAATGGCTCGTTTCGTTGCCAATCATCAATCCTAAACATAATCTCTCTCCCCTTTTACCTTTTTAATAAAAATCAACTTACCACCATAAACCTGTGCAACGTAGAGTGTACATTTTTCGAGGGATTTATTTCACAAACGGGCAAGTGTAACGACGTCTTCTCAGACATCAGCACGTGCAATCTATTTCTGTTAAAAATCATTATACACAACATTAATCGCACATTTTTAATCTCGCGTTGAAATGTTAATGACAGTTAAATGACACTTACGTCGCTTTCTTTTTAATGCACACGATTAGTCGTAAATAGAGCTTATTTCGAGGCTTCTCGACTGGCAATATGTGCGAATGCCACGGTCCGTTGACTTTCTTCACGAATTCTCTCCCCTTCTGTATGAGTGTTAAAATGTCGCCTGATCGTAGCTGTAAGCTCGTTACCTCGCGCACCCAACAGGCCTGCAGAGATTCCTCGTTCGATTGATCGGGCGTTTTTAGGCTTCCTCCAACAATATTCCCCGTCATGACAAATCGAAACCACGAGCCACTCGCGCATTGCACCATAATCAAGGACTTTGGCTCCATGAGCAAGCCAGTCTCTTCGAGTACTTCGCGTTTCATGGCATCGATAAGATTTTCGTTTGGTTCTACACGGCCAGCTGGCAAATACCATTTTCCCATGCACGTCGGCTTCGCCTCCTGCATCATTAGAACCTCATCGCGCTCGTTAATGAGGATGGCAGCTACGATATACGTAACCGTCTTTTGACATACGGGAACATAGGAGGAACTGGCGGCAGGCTTGATTCCATTCGCTTCTAAGAAAAACAATCAAGAATTAAAGCAATCGTGTACGTCACAAGAATTATCGGTTAGCGTTGCAATTTGAAATTGCCAACGGGACGATCGAATAATAAGGACAGCGATGCATTATTATTACGCGTTGCTCATTCGATGGTTAAATGATGTCGCGCTATTAAGAGGCGGCGATCGTGGGCTTTTATGGGACCACTTGTTGTCCTCATTATGTCTTGCTCAAAATATAAATAATAAATGGAGTCTTTGATACATTCAATTTTGTTCGACGTGTGATTGGGGATGAAGGAAGGAGAGAGGTTGGGCCCAAACATAAACGGCGATTTTAATATTAAATGTATCCTGCTAATTGGTCAACGAGTATTATATATCAACGATAATTACGATATTGATGTTTATTATTGTTGTTTTTTTTTTTTTTTTTTTTTTTTTTTTTTTTTTTTTTTTTTTTTTTTTTTTTTTCATATTTTTTATGTTCCTTATATATAAGGCCATCGTTATTATTCGTTAATTCATCGGCTGTGTTAAAGTGCGCGTGCATTTTAGCATTTTAGCATTTTAGCATTTTAGCATTTAGCGTGTAACCAACCAGAGCTGCTGCTCATACCCCATAAAGACAACGGAAAGCATATGAAAATTAATTAACACTGCAACAGAAGTTGACGGAGGTCAATGAGTGGGACGGGATGGGATGGAGTTGGGGAACCACGAGTAAAAAGAGTGAAAATTACGAAAAAAACGAAACAAAAAACAAAACAAAAAACAAAAGAAAAATGATACGATGGAACTGCGGGAAATAATTTGGCAATTGAGCGATCTCATGGTCTGTCCGGATGAAAACGACAGATATGCAAAGAATATACATTCTAACGATGATTTACAGGGGCACGGGATAATTAACCTACATTATAACCTAGAAGCGAAAAACCTTTCATCGTCTCGGCTCAACCGTAACTATCGCGATTATTCGAGCGCGCGCGTTACAAAAGCTCGCTTGTGGCTTGCGGGGAGGGG